GCTTCTAAGCTAGTCTGTGCTGCTCCCCCTCTCACCCCTCTCCCCTCCCCCTCTCCTTCTTCGACCATTTAGTACTCAGGTGTGGAGAAAGCCGAGTTATCACTCGACGTAATAGTCAGTCTTCCGGGGCTGCGTTTTCGGACCGATTGACTCTCGGGTAAATCCAAGCCTAGCGATCAACCTTCACATTTTGAAGGGTATTTTATTCCATTTGTGTTTTCAGACATCAAAAGCTCCTGAACAAAATGTACAGTCAAGCAAATGAGGCTTTCTTGCTTGAAATTATTGCTAGCACTGTATGTACACTTTGGTCCTGATGGCTGAGAACTGTAAAAAAAGTGAGCCCCGTAAAAAAGAGGACGAGTGTGTCTATCATCAAGGAGAGGTACAGTAGAGGCGAAGGTACAAGCGCAAACAAAACCAGCTAATGTATGCTTGTCGTCAAGCGGTACCGCGCGATGGTACGCGACCGTACGCGACTGGTATGCGTCCTGGACAGACCTCGAGCCTCGAGCACTGTCAAAACCCCACCGATTTTTATTTTCTGTTGTTTGAAAGTTGCAGTAACAGTGAATCTAGCCAAAATTCTTGTGAAGTAAGTGCAAATTGTGGGCAGGGCGTTCGGCGTTCCTCGTACGTTCTACACGCATCATTGCCCCGACTTGAGACGCCTCGGTTCCTTCCGGAAAGCCCACAGACTGGTCCGCTCCGGTCTGGAACGGCTTATCGGCAGATTGCCCTGCCAGGCCAGCCTGCCAGCATGCCTGCCAGCATGGCTGCCAGCATGGCTGCCAGCCCGATAGAGGACAGCCCTTCGTTGTTGGTTTTGAGTCGCCACACCCTGGCCGTCGCTCTGATAGGAGGCAGGGGAAACTTATTGAAAAACTTACTCTCCAGAGCAGTCCCAAGGAGAACAGAATTGTCACGAATAGCTCATCGTGAGCTTATTTTGGTCACATGTGACCTCATATGTGCTCAAATCGTGGCGAAAATCCATCACCTGCAGCTCACGGTGACCTTTTCGTGACGATTCCGTTCTCCTTGGGGTGTTGGCGGTGTTTGCCCTGTGTGGTGGCTTTCCATCGGTAGTACTTCGAGTAGAACTTGTCCACTTCAGTGCGAAAAGAATAGACGCCCAAATGTTGGGATTGATCCGAAATCCGCACTCGAATCCGGACCCATTGCTATTTCCTCCTGACGCTGGTTGTAAACAGAGTCGACAATTAAAGTGGTCGGCATGACGCCGACCTCTGAGGGGCCCTCACCATCCATCTGGGATGATGGCATTGCATTGTGCCCCACCGGTGGCTCGTCTGGCTCGCCAGTGTCGGAGCAAAGCCAACGCACAGAACGCAGTGGTGAGTACTTAGCCGGACTCCGTCTCTAGAATAGCCACCACCAAGCCAGGAATATGCGCAGGGAATTGAATTTATCGGAAATAATCTGTACTACGGTAAAAAGAAATCCGCGTCATGTTTTTCAAAGATTTTAAAATAAACACTGTTGCGCGGTAGTTGTATAGGGGCCGGGCCCCTATACTACTCGCGGTCGAAAACCAAGCCGCGCGTTGGACCAAGCGATTCGTCGGTTCATTCATCCCCACGGCCACGCCACTGCAAGACACTGCGTGCATTAACGATGCAGGTGCACACGCGCCGCAGTGGCGCCTGGCATCCGCTCGCATGCCTTGTATCAGACTACCAGGGACTGCCAGGGAGGGGAAGGGGGCACTGGGAGGACTCAGGAACCGGAAGACGGTCGAAGGGAAAAGCTCTCCCCCCCCCCCGAAAAAAAGGGGAAAACAGGAAAAAAGGGAATATTTCTTTTTGACTTGCATAGGCCCACCGCGAGTTCTTAGTATTTGGAAATCAGATCACCGAGTCTAACAAAACTGGTCTGAATTTTCAGAAATTTTTAACGGTGAAGATCAGACTAAAAGCACCAACACAAGAGAAATTTTATTGCAGGAATAAAGGCACTTTTTCGGTAAAAACACGGCACAGACAAATCTGCACCGAACGCACGAGCTGGGATTCGCTTCATCAATTTTATCGTGCAAATTATAAATGACAATGGAGTAGGGAACTGACGAACTGACTATGAGTATCGCAGTCGACAAGGACTGAAACTCTTCCTCGATAGGACGCGGGGTGAGGAAGACAGGGCAGGATTAAGCAGGGTGGGGGATAGAAGCCCCTCTGCGGGCAGTGCTACAAGCAGTCCCGCTGCCAGAGGATGTTAGGCAGGACACGCATTGCATTCGGACCCGTCGTGCCTGCAGCACTGCATCGCCTTGATGAGCGTCTGGGGCTGTCTGGGGCCGGCCGGCTGGGGCTTCCCTCTGCCTGCGCTGTGCGAAAAGAGGGGTGGGGGAGGGAGAGAGAGAGAGAGAAAAGTTTTTGGCATCTGACCATGGTCGCGGTGCCACGTCGGACAGAGGCACCACTGTTAAATCTCGAATTTGACTTCCCAACCGTTGGAGTGTTCTATTTTTCGCCAGTGGGACTCACGCACTCAACTTTGAGTGCGTGTGTGGGAGTGTGCTTCCCGCGTTTCTGAGTGTGTGTGCGTGCGTGTGACGCCTGACGCCCAGAAGTGCGGCCTGCAGGCCGATTCAGCGCTTTCGTGGCTCTGTCTCTCTCGCAACTACCCGGGACGCCCCATGCGTGTGAGAGAGAGCGCCGTTCGGACCGCTGCGCACGCTGCGCCGGGTTGTTTCGCCCGCAGTGACGCGGGTCAGGTGCGACTGCGCGAAGGTCAGGGCCGTCAGGGCCGTCGGGGCTGCTCGAGCTGCTCCACGTTCAGTTCTATTTGTGAGATGCAGTGTCTGGCAGTGTGGTTGCGTCCGTTTTGCGTGGGGTCGGGTCAGTCTTCTAATTCAATTAGTTGACCAAAGTATGAAGTAGTACAGTCCAATCAGGACTAATCATAAACTATTTGCGTACATTGTTGATGGTCTACTTGTGGTTGGTTGTGCGTACACTGTACACACATAGAGCACCGAACCTCTCTGGAGGTAAACGCCTTATTAGGCGGACTGACTCCGAGAGTCGTTTTCGTCGCTCTGTCTCTCTCGCCCTCATGGGGCGCCCAGTATAGGTGCGAGAGAGACAGCGCGACGAAAACGACTCTCGGAATCAGTCTGCAGTGGCGAGGCGCGAGGCCTGTCTCGTGGTGCCGATTCAGACCTTTTTGTGTTGGTCGTGCGATTCGGCGACACACCCACTCCACTGCGTCGCGCCGGTCGGCGGCCATTCGGCGGCCATTCGGACTGCCGGTGCACTACAAGGGGCCGCCAACTCGCCAGGCTCATTCCAGACAGCTGTCTCTCTCGCGCTCACGGCGCGTCCCGCGGAGGTGCGAGAGAGACAGAGCGACGAGGCACGTTCAGAAACCTCCGCGCTGATCTTCGCATCACCCCACTGTCCGCGCGTCGCGGCGTCGCGGCGTCGCGGCCACCCTGCTGTTACGACAGCGGCCTGGCGGCTCGCAGGTCGCTCTGTCTCTCTCGCACCCCTACCGAAGGCCCCACGAATGCGAGAGAGACAGAGCGGCGAAAAACACACTCGAGCCTGCAGGCCCGGCCAGCGCCGGCAAATAACGCAAATAACGTAGTGCATGTGTCCAAACACGTCTACACTCGAATCGCCGCGCCGCGCCGCGCCCACCTCGGCGGCCGCGTCGACGGGCTAGACGCTCCCTCCTCCCAGAGTCCGAGGACCGGGGCCCGGGGACCAGGCCGGGGCCTTGCTTGGCCTTGGCGCCAACCCGGACTAGGCCGCGGCTGCCGCGGCACGCCGCCACGCTTGACCAGGTCGACCAGTCCGCGGAGACATGCGACTAGCCTCGCCGACCGGCACGCCAGCACGGCCCCACGCCAGACGGCTCCTGTGCGGTGTGCCGGCGAACGACTTGCGCGTTGCGCGCCGAACGCTTTTACGTAAGACTACTCACACTCGGGCTCCTCCTGGATCTCCTGGAACGCCGGCAACTCCTGGACGCCGGCCTCCGCCATGGCGGCGCGCGTCGTGGTCGAGGGCGGTCAGGTGCTGCGAGGTGCAGTGCACATAACGTCCACACGTGTATCCAGTCAAGTGGGCGGCGTGTCGCGATGACGGCCGATGACGCTTCGGCGCTAACGAGCTAGCGAACCCGTCGATCGCGCTGGTAACGGTGGTTGGACGGTCGACGGGCCGGACGGCCGGCCGGCATTTTCATGCGCTGGCTGCTGCACCTCCCGGGTGCAGTGTCGGCGGCGGTCGACGCGGTGCTCCAGGACGCCGTTAGCGGCGGCGGTCGACGCGGTGCTCCAGGACGCCGTTTAGCGGCGGCGGTCGACGCGGTGCTCCAGGACGCCGTTTAGCGGCGGCGGTCGACGCGGTGCTCCAGGACGCCGATTAGCGGCGGCGTCTCCGCGGTAATTGACCGCGTCGTCGGCGAGCCTCGCGTAGCCTCGCGGTGCCGCGGTGCGGAGCTTTGCCTCGCGCGGGCCGGCGCGCCGCGTGTTCTGCGATTCACGAGAGCGAAGAGCCAAAGCAGCCAAAGGCACCGGGAAGCAAATAAAAAGCGTCCGAGTCAGTAATCGCGAATTCGCGATCGGATCAACCGGCGGGGCGCGGGGCGCTGCGTCAGCGCGGCGGGGTCGAGTCAGTCTAGCCGTTTCGTTTGGCGGTCCGCGCTCGGCGCTTCGCGGTTCGCGCTTCGCGCTTCGCGTCGCGAGCCGCGTCGGGACGGCAGGGCGGGGCTCGGGGCTGGGCTCGGGGACGCGCCGAGCCGCACAGCACGGCACTGAGGCAGCACTGGGCCCCGCGCCCCGCAGCCCGTGGGCCCCAGGCCGCCGCGCCCCGCCAGCAGCAGCGCCCCGCGGCCTGCCTGCGCGGCCTGCGCGGCCTAGCCTAGCCAGCTCAGCCCCTACCGGCACCGCACCGGCGGCGTGGAAGGGGGAAGGGGGCGTCGAGGATCTCCTCTAGACCCGGCCAAGCAGTGTAGCGCCAAGACGCGTGTATGCACCGGTAAACAAACAGCCGGCTGGGCGGCGTCGCGACGCCCTGGCGACGCCCAGCCCAGGCGACGCCCAGGAGACGCGACACCCTCCTTCCTTGGGGCCTCCCTTCGCTTCCTCGGCTAGAGCCGTGGCGTCGTACTGCCATGGACCAGGACTGTGGTCTCACTGAGGTCGCATGATTATCAACCGTACTTTACTTTCAGACAACGGGTAAGTTGCACGCTGATGAAGATAATGCTGATACCCCTTTCTGGACCTGTGGCCAGTCCTGGTGGAGGAAATATTTCTTTTCTGAAGTAGAGGCCAGCAACATTACAAAAAAATGCAATTGCTGAGCAAAGGGAAGGTCAAGCTACATTGATAACTTGATAGGACAGGATGTTCATCGATGTGCATCAACTCACTCCATAGAGCGAGGTCGAGGGACTTCCCCTTCTCCTGGCCTGTACAACCATTTTCGGCCATAAGCCAGCTGTACGCTAATCTGTCTCAAAGGTTATTCCACCTTTCAAGCAGTCCAGCGCCGTTGGTGTAACTGTGCCTTTCATAGGCCAGCCGCATTCTGACGATAACGGCAAAATTGTACAAAACTGCAGCCTCCGGCTGCTACCGCCTGTCTACTTGTGGCGCCTCTAGCGGCCAAAGTTGGTACCCTCCCTCTTCTTCCTCTTACTTTACTTCACTGCTCGCGTAGCGTCAGCCGACGGAGGGAGAAGTAAACATTCAAAACTTATCTGTCCATACCGTTCATAAGCGATTAATTAGAGAAATTTTGAGTGATTTGAAATATGCCATATTTCTTGTTATAGTTAATCACCTATGTTGGTGATTCAATTACTTCTCGGTACCCCCGATTTGTCCTTATTTGGCGTTTTCCTGTGACTACCGGTTTCGATAGGTTATTGGTTTCTGCCTTGTTTCATTATTGTGGTGTTTGTTTACATTTTTGTTTAACCCCTGTATTCGTTGCGACTCTACTCACCTCTTTGTTTCAATTAAACTGTCTTCATTGACACTCCGTATTCCACGGCTTTTTCATCCAGGATACTTAAATGAAGGCTATTTTGGCTGTTGTCACCCCTTTCATTGTGTGCCTTGCTAGAGATGAATGAATAAACTCTTCATTTGACTCGAACTTATTTTTGGTAACTTCTGCTTCATGTTGACAGACTGGTGCCATGGACGACGAGTACGATGAAGACAGGGGATGGGACCAAGACATGGGAGATGGAGACGTAAGTGTTTGCATCATCAAATGCAGTTTTCTATTTTGCGTCTCTACCCTCTTTATACTTTTCTGTAGTCTGACGAGGGAGGAGATGCTGTTGGGGATCCACAAGAAGTTCTTCGTGAGTGCTTGGAAAAATTTAGCACACCCGACTACATCATGGAGCCTGGTATTTTTACGCAACTGAAGAGGTGAGTTAAAGACATCGTTAAATTGTAAATATCAAGGATTTGAAGAAAAACACTGATGAATTTGGAGTTTTGATTATGTTTGGTTTCAATATTAACTGTTACTTTGTCTTTTGATTGCAGATACTTTCAGGCAGGTGGAAATCCCGAACAAGTCATTGAACTGCTTTCTCAAAACTATAAGGCCGTAGCCCAAACAGCAAATCTTGTTGCAGAATGGCTTATTCTTGGTGGTAAGTGTAGACCTTGAAATAGGAGTCTGAATCAACTGTGAAATAGTCTTAAGTTTATTCAATTGTTTCTTTTAGGTGTAAAGGTAACAGAAGTCCAAGCAATGGTAGAAAATCATTTAAAAGAAATGATCTTAAAAAATTTTGACCCTAAAAAGGCTGACACTATTTTCACAGAAGAGGGAGACGTAAGTAGTTTGCTTCCCTTGAATTTTTATTTTAAAAAGAGAAATTTTTTAATCAAATTATTTTGTTTATTAGACGCCAGCATGGCTTACAGAAATGATTGAACATCCAACCTGGAGATCATTAATTTACAGACTTGCAGAAGAATATCCAGATTGTTTGATGTTAAACTTTACCATCAAGGTATGTTTTTCATGTTTAGAGAAACCTTGTGATCCAATCTGAACTTTGGCCTTTATTTCTCTTTGGCTATGTTTCCTCTTTACTCTCCTTTACAGCTCATATCTGATGCTGGATTTCAAGCTGAAATTACTAGTATATCTACTGCTGCTCAGCAAATTGAAGTCTTTACCAGAGTATTGAAGACAGCAATTGCTAACTTCCTACAGGGTCCAGAAGACTGGAATAAAAGCGTCCGGGAAGTTGCGGTATGGTCCTTGTATTTGTCTATTTGCTCTGTTTTTTTTTTTTTTTTGTATTTTTATTGATAAACTTGCTAAACATGTTGCTTAGTTACGTTTTTCTACCTTGTTCAGAAAATGGTTTGCCATGGTCAGCACACCTATGTTTACAGTCAAGTCCTCTTGGCTGTCTTATCACAAGAAACAAGAGGGGGTGCTGTGGTGAAACGTTTATCACAAGAAATTGTGAAATGTGCTCAGGAAAGGTAAAGGAACAGTCGTTTTCATGTTGTTCATATCTTCATAATTTCTGGATTAACTGGACTTTGCTAACATGTTTTGTTGTTTGCTTCAGTGCCCATGATGTAACACCAATCACAATGGCACTTAATGGTGCAGCAGGTTATCCTCAGGCTTGTCAAGCCCTCACATCTATGCTGTCCCGAAACGCCTTAAATCCTGCTGATATTTCTGTTCTTTTTCGTAATTACTCTGCCCTTGACCCACCCCCAATAGATCTCATTCGTACTCCTCAATTCCTTGGTAAGTTTCAAACTGCATTTAAAATCTTAAAAAAATAGTTTTTTTTTCTTTTCCAAGTGGTGATTTACTTTTTGGATTTCAGAGCTTTTGGTTGATGCTCTGTTCAAACCGGGTGTAAAGCTCAATATGGAACATAGGCCAAAATATGTATATCTACTTGCTTATGCAGCAAGTGTCTGTGAAACTTGGCCTAAGAAGGGGGTAGCAAGCAGCAAGTTAGTGAATAAGGAGGAGTTGAAAAATACAGAGAAAGCCGTTGACAAAGTATCAACAATATGCAGTACCAATAAGGGTTCCACAGAACTCATTGCAGAATTGAGCACCCTGTACGATTGCATCAAGTAGGTATTGCATGCTAAAGTTGTTCTGAAATGATAACAATTTTATTAAATTTGAGAAGAATTGGAATGACATATCATCCATAAATTGCAGGGTTCCAGTTGTCTCAGTGGGTGTTGTGAGATGGGTGGAAGTGACAGTATTGGAATCAACTTACTTCCAGCTGTGTGTGGAGTCAACTCCAACTCACCTAGCTCTCTTGGATGAAGTTGCTGGCTGTCACCCCCTTCTACACCCAAGACTCTTAAACTTACTAATAACTTTGTTTGAATCAAAACAAGACGCATTAGAAATTCTTGTTCAGGTTTGTATGGTGAACAAATTTTCTCGTATCCAAATTTTATTTGTTGCCCTTATTTTAACTGTTTGTTGTGCGACTTTTTTCCTAGCTGGAACTGCGCAAAATGTTATTGGACAGAATGGTCACATTATTGTGCAGAGGTTGTGTAGTCCCGGTCATGAAATACATTAAACAGTGTTGGATTAGTGGAGAAACTGACATTTCTCTCATTCGATACTTTGTCATGGAGGTAAGATCCTTTTACAATTTTCTTCAACATTTGCCTGAGGACTTTGATTCATATTAACCTCCCCCCCCCTTTTTTCAGGTTTTGGAGGCCATAGCCCCACCTTACACAAATGAGTTTGTGCAATTATTTTTACCCATGGTGGAAAATGAAGAAATCACTGGATCTATGAGAGGAGATGGTGATAATGACCCAGTTTCCGAGTTTATTGGTAATTCTGAACCACTAGTTTCTGATCAATTACCTATGTATTTGAGCAACAAAGTTAACTTTCTGTTATTTTGCAGTGCACTGTAAGGCTCACTACACAGTTCATTGAGGGATGGAGCTACAAACAAAGAAAGTTACCAGAACGTTGGCATCTCCATAGTTGCCATCTTTCAAAAAACCCTCTTTTATTAGAGAGACAGAAAATCACCCAATGATTTAATTTATTGCCCGACTGCCTTCTATACTGCAAAAGGAACAATTTTTTTTCCCACCAATTTTCAATTTCAATCTGATCATTCCTGAATACAATTGGCTTGTAACCAGATTTGTGATTGTGTGTAGAAAACGGGTAATCAGAACATGAACTTATGTATCAAATGTCGAGAGTTATGTGTGATTTTGTGTGTTAAATAAGTTACATCAATATTATTTGGAGGCTTGGGAGGCTGTTAGAGGCTGTGCCTGATATGATAGCTTGAGTTCTGTTGTTCTTGTGTAAATAATAATTCTCTTCATTTTTGAAGAGCAATAAACAACAAATTACTATTTACATGATTATTTATTTACTGTGTTGATAGTTTTTAAAAAAATCAAATAAAAAAAAAAGAAGGTTCAAATGTTAGTATACATTACAGAGGAACTTGCTTAATTAATTCCACATATACATATCTACTAATGACTCAATAGATTAAATTTTCATCGGACATTTCATTGTGAAAACGATTAACATTCTACTTGTTCACACACGCAAAGTTGAGAAGGTGTCATTATGAATTGAATGATAAAATATCTTTAGAGGAGACCTTGTCTCTTCAAATCTTCAAAAGTTTTCTTATTTACAACATTACCGAGGGAATCTTCAAACTCTTCTTCTGCCTCTGGCTGCCATCTTTCTGTTTCCTTTTGGTCCTTGATTTTCTCCCACAATGCCAATGCATCTTCAATTTGTGTAACATTAGCAAAATGAGCCGTATTAGGAATACCAAGGCACCTCATTCCGTGAGCGTGCCTCCACTCGGCAAAGTGCCTCTGGAATGCTTTGGGTCCCTTGTAAGTAAAGTTTCCACAAATTTCACAGTTATAACTGATGTTAAGCCCATGCAATTTGTACAGCCAGTAAGGAATTGGTTTCCCATCCCAACCAAGTGGCAGATTCTTGGGGTTGTAGGGCACCTCTGAATCATCTTCATCCTCTGAGTCTGATGCACTGACTTCAGCATCTGAGTCATCCCTTTCACCCTCCGTACGGGCCTGCTTTCTCTGAACATTCTCCTTGGTAGCATTTCTCTGCTCAGAGAGAAGCTCTGCAAATTTGTAAACCTGAAACAATATACAAGGGTCCTTAAATTTTGTTCTTGCTACGACATGAAGGGGAACTATTAGACAAAAATTACCAAAGTCAAAACATACCTGTGCTTCAAGGGCAGCTATGTCCTTGTGTTTCATTGTGTCCCGGCCACGACCAGGTTTGCTCTTAGCCAAGAGAGCAGGGTCGATTTCTGCCTTGCCTTTGGTACTGAAAAGGCGCTGAGCTCGCTCTTCTAGGGTTCCTCCACATTTGAGACCCAAGGCAAGAAGGGCCGATTTCAGACGATCCAACCCAAGAGATGCTAATTCTTCCCAAGAAGAGAAAGCAGAGAGGTCCAGATGGGCACCCTGGTTAGTCAGCACACTGCCAGTTTCCTTCGGCCAGCCAGGGAAACTGCCTGCATCCCACTGACGGTGAAAATCTCTCATCACACTTTCCATTTCTCCATGGACATCGAGGAGGGGTCTGACACGCTCAACATAGGCGTGCAGATAGTCCAGCACATCCAAAATGTATTTGCGGTACTCTGCATTCTTGCGGTCTTTGGGAATGTCATACAATTGGTCGAAGGTAGTAAGGTACGTAATGTAATCCACCTTCTCGATTCCTTTGAGATTGATGTACTTTTCATAACATTCATGAAGATCCAAGTATTTTCCATAACCCTCTTCATCAGTGAACTCGGTCATATTGTTGGTATCTTCAGCAGGGTTTTCACGAAGCTTGCCAATTTCCTCAAACTCAACAGACATGGGAACACTGATCTCATCTGGATGACGGCGGTAGAACTCTTTGATAACCTTGAGACGGGCGTAGAAGTCCGCAAACTCGTTCGGCCCAGACATGGAGGCAACTTCATCTTTCCGAAGGGAATCTTTGTCTTCGTAGAGTTCCTTCAAATTTGTTGTACTGTCAACAAATCTGTCCAGAAGACTCTTCAGCCGGTGGTCCGAGTTGATCTGCTCGCGCTGTCCACTCTTCTTGTGCAACATTTCTCTCACCATGGCGTCCATCAACCTTTCTCTCTCTTCATGGTAACTGCGCTGCTGTTCTAATATCGACTCCATGCTGCTTAACTTTGAGAGCCACTATTGAAAAGGTGGAAGGTAGTCTAACCTAAATTCGTCAACGCACCGTTTACGAGAAGCAAGAACAATAAAAAACAACAACAGTCTGTTGTCAACAAATGGCCGAAAGAAAATGGCGACGCCAGTTTAGGAAACCTTGTCGATTTTTCATTTCCAAAAATACTCTAAATCCTAACACAATCAAAGCTTAAGAGTTTAGAATATATCATAAATATTGAAGACGTTCCGCGCTACGAACTATTTTACAGAATAGAAGAGGATCCCTATGCCTTCACGCCCTTGCGTGGTACGCCACAGTTGGTAAAATTTCACATGCCGCGTTTGCAACGCATTTCGAATCTGTTCGCACTTCGGTCAATTCGCAGTTCTTAAGGCAACTATTTCGAGAAGCCATATTATTTCTATAGCGCTCCTCCCATCCTGAAAGAGAGGTTTTGAGAGCTTAATCTAACCAGTGGTCATTGTAGAGCACGCTCGCTCATGCACAACTTTGAAAAAAAAAACTAGAAAATTCTCACGAGCCAAGAGACTGATCATAGACAACCAATTGTCGATGGACTGATTCAAAGTTCGTTTTATTTGTGTGTACACGGCGACGGAGAGCAGATTCAATGATTTCTGAGACGTTTTGAGAGAAAAGAGGACACGACTTTCCGAAATGAAGAGAACAGGTTCAGTCTCCGTGTTTTCATGAAAAAGGAGCGGAGCAGGACAAGCGCAACACCAACAAGAACAAAACCGGCAACTGCAGACTGAGGGGCGTTTTCGTCCCTCTGTCTCTCTCGCACCCATGCGGGACGCCCCGTGAGTGCGAAAGGCGCGGATCCAGAAACGGGTTGGGGGGGGGGTATCGCAAAAGTTGCCCACCTACAGGGGCAACACCCAAATTCGAAAGGCGGTACACATGGTGTTACGAAGGCGGTATTCGTTTTACCGCCTTCCAAGTGTGGTACAAAAATTACCGCCCATTGAAGGTGGTAAAATTACCACCTTTCACCGCTGTACCGCCTTAAATTTCCCTGCAAACGGAACATTCAAGGCGATAAAACTGTGGAAGGTGGTAATTTACCGCCTTCAATGGGCGGTAAAATGAATACCTCACTTGGAAAGGCGGTAAAACAAATACCGCCCTCGATTGTGGAAATTTTACCATCCTTGGGTTTTGTGTGAATGTGCGAATTTTTGCTGACCTTCGCCTCCCCCCCCCCTCTCCCTGAATCCGCGCCTGGAGTGCGAGAGAGACAGAGCGACGAAAACGACTCTCGGAATCATTGTGGTGAAGGGCCGTCTTCCGAGTGCATTTCACTCGCTCATCCGTCACTCCGTCTCCTCGTCACCCACTTCCTGCGGGAAGGGTGTGGCGCTGCAGACGACAAGCGTCGCGTCGCGTCGCGTCGCGATGAGCCACGCGTGCTCGCCGGAAGATTGCCTCCGACTCTCACTGCCGGGGCCGTGTGGCCGCGAGGCCCTCGGCGAGGCCGCGTCCGGGGCGGCGCGGTCGGTCCGGCTCGCTGCGAGAGAGAGAGAGAGAGAGAGAGAGAGAGAGAGAGAGAGAGAGAGAGAGAGAGAGAGAGAGAGAGAGAGAGAGAGAGAGAGAGAGAGAGAGAGAGAGAGAGAGGGACCGACGCCTGCGACGCGTCCCGACGAGATAAGGGCGGCTTGGCTTCGCTTGGCTTCGCCCCGACGGCGTCGCGACGCTCACGCCCATTGGGCATCGCCGGCCAGCAAGCCGAGAGCAAGCCCAGTACCTGCCAGTGCCGGACCGAGCGGCGCGCGTGTGGCACCGTGCGTAGCGCCGTGTGAGTGAGCGTGTGCGCGTGGAACGAGTGCGTGTGTGTGAGTGCCACGCACCGCGACGCACAGTCGGTCGGCAAGTCTCGCTGCCCTCCACCAGGTTGCCGCCATGGAGGGACATCCACGGAGAAGTGTCAGGTAAGAGGGACTCGTTGACGGAGATGGGCCGCGAAGGGAGCGAGAGGGAGGGTTTCATTTCACAAGGGGTGCAAAGGCAGGCTCTGCACGGGCCGCGCAGGCCGAAACCACCCGAACGAAGCAGTGAACGTGGAGCCTCGAGCCCGGTTAGTCATTGCGTTGAAGTTGTTTTACGGGGAGAAGTCTAGCACGGCCGGCCAGGGTGCCCAGTCAAGCGGGTTGCACAATCTTACAGCGCTTTTACAAGGCCTGCGGTGGGGGATGCTCCCTGGAGAGAAACCGCCATGTGCAAGAAAGGGCGGCTTTTCCGCTGGCTCGCCCAGATCGCTCCAATCGAGTGTGAAATAATCGAAGAAAAATGCGGAGCGGCGCGGCGGGCGATTGCGCACCGTGGAGGCGGCGCGGGACAGGTGCGATATGATAAGGCTGATAACGCGGAGGGGGAGGGGGAGGGGGGCAGGCCCGGCAAGCCCTCGGCGGGCCGCGCCCCGTCTTCCGGTACCTTCCTCGGATTCGTCATGATGCGGCCGTGATGCGGCCGAGGCGATAGTCCTTCGATTGACCGATTGTTTTCCTCGAATGAAGCGACGACACTGTAAACTAGACCTGTATCGGCTATCGATGTATCGATCTGCACCAAAACGGAAAGCAGGAGCGAGTGTGGCTGCACTCTGCCTCCCTTGCCCAGGCCTTGCCGGCCAGATAACTCGATGAGTCAAGTGGGGGAAATTTGGAACGGGTCGATCGGGGGAGGGTGTGGGCCAGACCCACTGTAAAATTTTGTGAATGTGCCAGAATGTGCAACATTTCAGCAGTTTCTGCCACATATGTTGCCTACTTTCAGGCGTTTTTGCCACATATGTTGCCTACTTTCAGGCGTTTCGGCACACATGTTGCCTACTTTCAGGCGTTTTTGCCACCTGAATGTGGAATGCGGTCAAATTTTGTACAATGAATGAGGGAAGCTGCTCCCCCCTCGGCGTGGGCACACTCTCTGCGGGCAGGACTCAGGCACCCTGAGCAGTGGCCATGATTGGCCAACGAGTGTTTCGTCGCTCTTTGGTCGCGGCAAAATAAAGATTGTATTCCCTCGCCCTCATTTCTTTATTTTTGTTGGATATATTTGTATAGGCGGCGTTGTGCATACCTTGGTGCCCGCAACTTTCTCTCAGTTCAAAAACCCGAGCAATGTGTTCGAGAAAGGAATGCGTCTGGCTCGCTTCACCGAAGCTCAAGCGAGCTCTAGGCACAGAGAGACGCGCGAGCCCGATTCGGCGACGGAGATAACCTGTATCTACGCACGCCGACGCAGAGCACTCCCAAAAATGGTCGGCAACCGTGTCATTCAAAAGCCTCTTTTTCGTCTTGCAGGTGGTCGGGGCGGGCCTTGCTGTCATGGATCGCTCTGTCAGGTGTGTCTTTGGCCACGTGCGCCAGAATGCTCGCGGGAGATGTTGGATTGGGCTGCGTTCAAGGAACTGCCAGAAGCAGGCTGATTCCGCACATCGCTCTGCCCGAGGCTCTGCCGCACGGTGGATTTGCCAGAAGAACGCTGGAGGCGGCCAATGTCCCGGACGGGTCTTGAGCTCCAGAGTCGCTAAACGGGATTCGAACCGAACGTGTGACCCCACCAATGGGTTTCTCGTTCGGAGAGCAATCCATTGGTGGGGTCACACGTTCGGTTCGAGTCCCATTTAGAGACTCTGGAGCGCAAAACGCGTTTAGAGTTTTGGCCGCCGTCGCCGGTCCTTGGCCCACTGTACGTCGCTCTCGCACTCCTCAAGCGTGCTAGAGAATCAGAGGGCAGAAAACTGTGCGAGGCCAGCCTGGCGGCGCCTGGCGGGCAAGGCAAGCCCTAACTTCCCCGTCTTCCTCAGCGCTGGCGGCGGTGGCGGCCCAGGAGAACGCCGGCATGACCATCCCCAGCTCCCTGGTGGAGTGCTACTCCAACGCCTCCCTGCTGTCGCACGCCGCCCTGCCCACCTTCGGCATCGGCCAGCTCATCGACCTCATCCGCAAGGTGGAGAACAACCAGTACATCCCGATGGACCTCAAGACCCTCGCGGTGCAGCTCACCCAGAGGTCAGTGTGTCGTCTCTGGCTTGCGAGCGCCGAAGCGCCTGCAGCGCGAGGGGTAGGCAACCCGACGCGCTCCAAAGCCCGGCATTGCCTGCCGCACAGGGGCTCCGCACAGTGGGCCAGAAGACCGGTGGAGGCGGCAAAAATTCTAGACGCGTTTTGAGCTCCAGAGTCACGAAATGGGACTCGAACCGAACGTGTGACCCCACCAATGGATTACTCGTTCGGAGAGCAATCCATTGGTGGGGTCACACGGTCGACTCGAGTCCCATTTGGTGACTCCGGAGCTCAAAACGCATCTAGGGTTTTTGCCGCCTCCACCGGTCTTATGACCGATTGTGCGCCCCCAGCTGACGAGTCTGTCTCTTCCAGGTTCCGCCAGGACGGAATTCGGCGCGCCCCCGACGTGACCCCGTCTGACGGCGTGGTCCCCTTCACGCCGTCCGGCCCCGAGTTCTTCCGCCACATGATCCTGCTGACGAAGCTGATCCCCGGCAACGCCTACAACTTCCCCAACAGCAGCCTCAGCATGCCCGAGCAGGTGCGCGAAGACGCAACGTTGGCACTCCGTGACCCAGTGGAGCTTCTGCATCTGCAGGCAGCGTCCGCAAAGCGGTCCAGATGACTGGTGGTGCCGGTCAACGTCCTGACGCGTTTTGAGCTCCAGAGTCGCTAAGTGGGTCTCGAACTGAACGAGTGACCCCACCAAAGGATTGTTCTCCGAGCATTGGTGGGGTCACTCGCTCGGTTCGAGTTCCATGTAGTGACCGGTAGCAACTCCGGAGCTCAAAACGCGTCCAGAGTTTTGGCCGCCGGCGCCGGTCGTCTGGCTCACGATCCTGCTGACTGAACCCTTTTCTTCCAGTGCGCGCTGCACTTCATGATGTCCTCCACGATGGACGATATCAACCGCGGCGCCAACGACGACCAGCCCTGCAACAACCTCAAGAACTACCCGAGCGACCCGTACGGCAACTCGGGCACCTTCAGCGGCTACCAGAGCGGCTACGGCGGCGGCGGCTACGGCGGCTTCGGCGGCGGCTACAGCTCGGGCGTCAACTACAACAGCCGGAGGGGCCCGCCGACGCGTGCCCCCAGGAGGTCGAGGAACGCGAGTCCCGGCATCGAGGACGACGTGGAGATCCTGGACCCCAACTTGCAGTGAGTGGCGTGGCAAGTGGCGTGGTCCCGAAGTAGACTCTCAGCCCTCTAAATTTCGTATACGGAACACCAGCTGGTCCAACCAGTTTGATTGATAAACTAATTCAGCACTCGCGAGATCAGATGAGCGAACAGTTCTTAGCAGCTTGTTGATGCTGTTGACGCTTGGTTCCAACAGGGCCGCGGCGACGGAGAAGGCCGGCAAGAGCACCAACTACGTGCGCAGCCGCTGCCCGGTGCAGTCCGGCGTGGTGCTGACGCCGTGGGGGTCGGTGAGCGGCGGCACGGTGATCGCGGCCATCGCGGCGGGGCTGGTGCCTCAGACCGTGCAGGGCGAGATGCTGGCCGCAGCCTTCCCGCGCTCCAGGTACTACACGCCCAGGAGGAACAGCGCCGACACCATGGGCGCCATCGACAACAGGTGGGCCGCCACCTTCTCCGGCGACCTGGCCCAGGTGGCGCTGCTGCAGGGCGCCAGCGACCGGAACAACATGGCGGTCGGTACGGCCGGCGGCTGGTCGTCCGCCTTCGAGCCCAAGCAGTACTACATCACGCCCCAGAACCTGAACCGCCAGACCGACGGCTCCATGACGGACCCCATGGTCAGGGGCAGCATGGACGGTGAGTGCAGGGTGGTCTTGCCCGAGGGGGCAACCACATTGGATGGTTTGGGGACACAAGATTTCTGAAGGCTAAAGATTTCGTCAGATTTCGCAAGATTTTAACCGTTATTCCGCCCAAAATTAGCTTGTTTTTGGCCTTGTTGGGGGCAAGATTTCAGATTTCCCAGAGATTTCTAGCGCTAATGGACACAAGATTTCTAGAGTGGTTTCCCCCTCGATCTTGCCCCTCACCACGCTACAAACCTACCCAGGGAGAACAAAAAAGTCCAAATGATGTCAATATGACCACAAAATGAACGATTTTAGTCAAAATTTGGTCCATTTTGACGTCAAAATGACATCATTTGATGTCGTGGTGACCAGCCTTTGACTACCTGTTCTCCTTGGGGGGTAGGCCTAAATCGAGGGGTCCAATTCAAATGATCTTATCTGGGCGTTCCCGTATAAAGAATCTTATCTGAAACACAAGCAAATTTCACTAAGTTTGACCACTTATGACAGACAAGAGAGTACGCAGAGCCTGTATCTACAAGCACTTTTGGTTTCTTCGATCTTTCATCTTCAAGTTTGTGTGAATAAAATCACAAATTATACAGATTTATAGCTCTCTCAAATTATCAAACTTAGTGGAATTCACTTGCGTTTCAGATAAGATTCTTTATACGGGAACACCCTGAAGATACTTTGAATAGGACCCCTCGAACTGCCTACTAGTGCATACGCTTATGCACATGAAATATTTTGAGCAGATATAGGCTTACAAGGAAAATACTCTCGTCATTTTCAAAGTACATGGTTTGCGATGTTTTGTCGCGATGCTGAACTTGAAACGATCGCAGGCCTCATCATGGCTTCGTACGTCAGCGAGTGGTACAGCCGCACTAGCAACTCCCTGAAGCTGTCCCAGTTGCTCGACATGTACTACTCGGAGCGCGGCGTCTTCGACAGGAACACCCGCGCGTGCTCCAGGCGAGAGCGCTTCGGCGACGTGGCGACCACGCAGACCCTCAACGCGCAGGTACGCCAGCACGTGCCAGCACGCCGGCAGAGGGCAGCACGATAGGACACTCACCCTGAACCTCACGGCCTACTGAGTACTCACTTGAATACGAGCTTGCAAGTTGAAACGCATACTTGGCAAAGTGCACTCTTACAAATGCATATGCGTTGCTTGGAGATCACGTATGGCGCTAAGCATGCATTCGGACGTGAGAACTTGCTAAGTTTGCCTTCGTGTGGGCCAAGCATGCATTTGAAAGTGTGTACTCGCACTGGTGAAACAAAGGCATAAAACTACGTATGCCCTTAAAGGGCGTAAACGACGTACGCTCCTAGAAAGACGTAAATCGTTAATGCCTCTGATAGGGCATTAAAATTTTGCCTAAAAGTCCAATACCATTCACGCCCTCCCCAAGGGCATGAGATGACTTACGCCCTTAAAGGGCGTTAAAGACTGTTTAATAAACAGTGTTTATACCCTAAAGGGCGTAGTTTTTTTTGCCTTTGTTTTACCAGTGCAGTTGACAGTTAAGTTTGTAGTGCTGTTCTTGGAGTCTTTCGAGAGGTTCTGTCCTCCTCCCGGGCATACCTTAATACTAGCCCAGCTTCCTCTGTTCCACAGACTGAGGCGTTCTCCAAGTTCTACGGCCGAAACAACCCCATCTCGGTGACCATGACGGATGACGTCATCTCCGATCTGGCGGACACCGCCGTCTCCAAGCTGCAGCTCTACATCCGTAAGAACCTTTCCGTTAGGAAGTACACCACACCCCAAACCAAAAGCGAGTCCTTCGGGTGTGGGAGGGTCAGGAGGGGGTAGGAGGGGGTGGGAGGGGTTGGGAGAGGGTTGGGTGGGGGTTGGGAGGGGGTTGGGTGGGGGTTGGGAGGGGGTTGAGTGGGGGTTGGGTGGGGGTTGGGTGGGGGTTGGAGTGGGTTGGGTGGGGGTTGGGTGGGGGTTGGGTGGGGTTGGGAGGGGGCTGGGAGGGGGTTGGGAGGGGGTTTGGGACGCTCGGGGCGGGGGAGAGGGAGGAGGGGTAGCACTTGCTTCCTACCTTTCAGGCGGCTATCTAGGCGAGGGGCAACCCCTCCCCTCTGTATCCGCGCCTGGCCTTTGACGTTCCTGTTGTCCGCCTGCAGCGACGGCCAGCGCCCCCGCGTGCGAGGTGACGTCGACGGGGCTGCTGGCGCGGCCCTACGCCAACCTGCTGGTGCTGCTGGACACGGCGTGGCAGTACACCGACATCCACCCCGCCATCTCGTTCCTGCTGGACCGCACGGAGGCCGGCCAGTTCGGCAGCAAGGTGACGATCCTCAACGCCATGGACGGCAGCGTGCTGTTCAACTCCACGTACCCGCGCCTGGACTGGCACGTGGCCTACACCAGCGACGCTCACTCGGACGGTCAGTGAGGTGCAGTCGGCACTGGGCCTGAAGGCCGGGGGAGGCGGTCGAAATCCCGGACGCGTTTTGAGCTCCAGAGTCGCTAAATGGGACTAGAATCGAACGTGTGACCCCACCCTTGGATTGCACTCCGAACGAGGAATCCATTGGTGGGGTCACACGCTCGGTTTGAGTCCTGTTTAGCGACTCTGGAGCTCAAAACGCGTTTCGAGTTTTGGCCGTCGGCGCCGGTCTTCAGGCCCACACAGTGTTAGTCTCGGGATTCGGGCAGGCCTGACTTGCATTGTCTCTGCTCCGCAGCCGCCATGACCGCCACGGGCTTCGACATGCTGTCCTCGCTGGGCGCCGCCATGCAGCGCCTGCGCACGCACGACGCCGACAACCATGACCGTCGCGTCCTGGGCGGCCGCGGCCAGGCCGTGCTGTTCGTGCCGCAGCAGAACAAGGGCGTGGACCAGAACAAGCTCTGGGAGCGCATGACCAACTACCGCATGCTGTACCCTGGTGCGTTGCGCGTTCGGGGTGCAGAAGGCACAGTGGATTTGCCAGAAGGCCGGCGCAGGCGGCCAAAACTCTAGATGCGTTTTGAGCTCCAGAGTCGCTAAACAGGACTCGAACTGAGCGTGTTGACCCCACCAATGGATTCCTCATTCGGAGAGCAATCGATTGATGGGGCTCACACGATCGGTTTGAGTCCCATTTAGCGACTCTGGAGCTCAAAACCCGTGAGGGATTTTGATCGCCTCCACCGGTCTTCTGGCCCACTGTGAAACGCCGCGGCAAGATCCGTTTCCGATGGCCCCGGCGGTAAAGTACGCTGTGAGGATGGGAAATTGTCAAGGTTTCCTCGTTGTTCCAGACGTGGACTTGCTGGTGCTGGCCAGCAGGAACATCAACCGGAACGCGTTCAGCGCCTTCACCAACGACACCAACAACGACGTGTTCTCGCTGGAGCCGACGGACCCGTACAACTCCATGTCACAGTTGGTCAACAGGATCAAAAGAGGTGACGCTCAAGGCTTTTCCGACCTGCCAGTGAAGCACTTGCATGAGCACTTGTCGAGTCGAGAGTAACACGTTTGCGTTACAGTGCCCCGACGCCTCCGCAACCCCAACTGCGACCCGGACTGGAGGGAGGACCGCTCCGGCAACTCCGAGTTCGTGGACTACGTGGAGCCGCTGGGCGTCAACTACTACCGCCTGGCGCCCAACAACTTCTACCGCACGACGGACACGCAGGCCAAGCTGCGCGTCACCATGAACCAGGGCCTCGGCACCCTCACCGTGTGCTACTCCAGGTCCTTCCCGTCCTTGAACGGCACCAGCAGCAACATCGGCTCGCAGGCCACCAGCGCGGGCACCTGCAGCCAGGTGGGCAACAACGGCCTTGAGATCCCCATCGTCAACCTGTGCCCCGACGCCTACTTCGTCAGGGACTGCGCGCCGCTGTACCTGGCCGTGTCCGCGGCGCAGTCCACCACCGGCGCCAGCACGCGCTGCCAGGGTGAGTTGTTCATTTTGAGTTTTTCTTTCTTTTTGTTCTTAAGTGCTGCGCTGTCTGCGGAGGGAACGCCTGCCGAGGCGAGGGTAGGCCAGCCCGCAACGCACGCCTGCTCGGCGGGCCTGCCCAGCCTTGTACCATTACCATTACGGGCTAGACCACACCTTCGCGGGCGCGCGGACGACAACGCGAAGGCGTGCGTGAAATGGAGTCCGAAGTCTGAAGCCCTTCCTCTGTTTTCCGCTTGCAGACCAGAACGCGTGCCGCTTCCCCGACATGGTGCGGTACAGCGTGATCCTGGAGCGGGCTGGCTGCTGGAGCTCTGCGAGCGGCCTGCAGGCCGTCGGCGTGCTTGCGACCCTGCTTGTGGCCTTGTCGTCCGTCCTGCTGCACTAGCAGTGCACTAGCAGCGCACTAGTGCCGCCAAGGCATGGCCTAGGCACAGTGGGTCAGAAGAACGGTAGAGGCGGCCGAAATCCCGGACGCGTTTTGAGCCCCAGAGTCGCTGAACGGGACTTGAACCGACCGTGTGACCCCACCAATGGATTGCTCTGGGAACGAGGAATCCATCGGTGAGGTCACACGCCCGGTTCGAGTCCTGTTTAGAGACTCTGGAGCTCAAAACGCAGCCAGAGTTTTGGCCGCCGGCGCCGGTCTTCTGGCAATTTCACTGTGCCGGGCCGCCACCGCGGTGACCCGGGGAAACTCCACTCCAGCATCCCCCTGGCTTCTGGAATTTACTCGTCCAGGAATGGAAACGGTGGCGGGGTCGGCCCGAAACGGCGGTCCAAGCCACAGAGCGTCCACGCGCTTCTTCATCAGGCGCTGTGTTCTTCATTTCACCTTCACCTCATCTTGTTAGACTAATTTAAAAGTTTACCTGTTGTTTTCTTTTTGCTGTTTTACTTGGGAGGAATGCTGAATGCTCTCTTTTCTCACACAATACGACCTAGCTGATTCGAGTTATCTTTGGCCCTACCCCACAAGATAAGAAACGTCATCCATAAGACAATCGATGTGAGTAACACTTTTGGATCAACTTGATACAAGTGAGGTAGCGGAGGTCTCATCAAGGCATTCATATGTAGATTGTTTTTCCTTTTTAAAAATAAATTTAATATCATTAATAAGTTATTGTAAGTGTTACTGCCATTACTTAATGAACTGAAGGACTGCACAGCACAAAGTCATGGCACTGTTAGGTAGGATTTTCATCATTCATTTATTTTATACCATTTACATATGTTAGTATGATAAGAAACACTGTGTAAAAATAGTCAAATAAATCTGAAACAATGATTTTGTAAACACTCTTTTTTTCAGTCTTCTCTGAGAGCGGCCGTTTTTTTTTTGGACAAACCTCAAGTCGTTTCTCAACAAAAAATTAATAAGACTTAAAATTATCGTAAATTTATGACTGATGGACATAGACGTAGACATATATGCTTATTAAGACTACAATTGCTCCTAGCACTCTGGTACAGTCAAAGGCTGGAGTGCGCTGGGTTGCACAGTGGGCCAGAAGACCAGCGCCGGCCGCCAAAACTCTAGACGAGTTTTGAGCTCCAGAGTCGCTGAACACGACTCCAAACAAGCGCGTGACCCACCGATAGATTCCTCGCTCGGAGATCAATTCATTGGCGATGGTCACTCGTGCGGTTCGAGAACCCACTTAGCGACTCTGGAGCTCAAAACGCGTCCGAGAGTTCGACTGCCTCCACCGGCCTTCCGTCCCACTGTGGGGCGCAGTCTGACCTGACTCAGGATGGCAGGATGCACTGGACTGCACTGGTGCTTCATCCTGTCCGGGCCGGAGGCGGCATCGGGGCCGCGTAACATTGTTTGAGGAAGATTTGCCGTGTGGTCGGAGGCGAGCCAGGAAGCGATGGAAGTGGAAACCATTTCTCCGCTCGGCCACGCTCGGCCTGCCCTGCCGCCTTCCCGGCCCAGGTGAAAAATGCCCTGTTGCTGCACAGCGGCGGTGCTCGGCATGGTGCTCGGCTGCACGCCGGGTAGCCCGCGAGTCTGTCCGTACGACGCGCTGCCTTCGTTCATCTTGCAAACGTCCAATTCGTGGGTCTTTTCACTCAGTTACACTGTACACACGCCTCAGCAGACCGGGTACGCGATGTGCACCTCCGTAGAGCCCTGCTTGACGGCGGCGAGGATGGCCCTGGCGGCGTCCTGCACCCGGCAGGGCCGATGCCTGCAAAGCGAAGAAGCAGTCAGCAGTCTGGAAAAGGGCGTCAGCCACTTTTAATCTTCGTCCAAAAATAACTAATGACCCATTTCCAAGGGAGGTCCGACGCTTGTTCACAAGCCAGTGGTAAGTTTGCTTGCTACTAATTTGGCAATCTTCATAAGCTTGCCAAATTTTGGCAAGCTGGGGAGTATTTCCGGGCCAAGCTTGCCAATTTTTGGCAATTCAAAACGGCTTGTCAAATTCGTGGCAAGTAAACTTTCCACTTACCACTGGCATTGCAGTGCTTTCAAAGGCCGAAAACTGATGCCAAAGTGAAGAGCATCAGGTACATCGAAGGCCAGTTATTAACACATTCACGACCGGAATCGTTTTGGGCAAACTTCCGCTCAGGATCGGAGTCTGCTTTGACCAAATCATGCATCTCCCAGACCTCGCGTCTGGATATGAGTACGGTCGTGAATGTGTTAAACAAACCCATGAGCTTGTCGGTCCTACCTGGCCTGGTCGGAGTGCAGGTGGACTTTGGTGTAGCGCACCGCGGCCCCGATCTCGTGAAGGCTCTCGATCCACGCGTCGGCGACCATCCCTGCCCGACACACGAAAACAGGTCTGTGAGGTCCCTCCATAACGCGAGAGGGCCCAACTCAAATGGCACAAGGGCCTCCCTACCGCTCTTGTGCGCGATCTGCTCGTCCAGGACGTGCACCACGTGGCCCCTGGTCCTGGCCAGCATCCCGGGCAGGAAGCCCAGCAGCGGCTGAAACGAAAATGAGAGAGCATGGTGCAGGAACGGACAAAATGTGATCAATCAACTGGCTTGGCTTCAGGAAGAACGAAGGTGAATTCAGGATTCAAATTGTATTTCTGAGCTGGTTAATTATGCCGAACCGGCCAGTCTGCTCAAGGCTACACGCGCTGCTGCATGGCCGAGACGCGAGCCCGGGCGCGCGGGCCGAGGTCTAGCCTCACAGCCGTGCAGCCGGCTAGGCTGGCGTCCAGCACCACTCGCCGACTTATTTCCAGCAAAGCAAAGCACTCACTGCGCCGCGCTGCACACTGCACCCAAAAAAAATGGTTTCTTGATTTTTGATTTTCTTGGTTTTTGTAAGAAAAATAATCTTGACCCCAAGAAAAATTTTCTTTATTCAAGAAAAAAAATTGGATAAAGAAAAATTTTCTTGCAAAAACCCAAGAAAAGTTAAATTTTTCTTGATCCAAGAAGTCATTTTTTTGGGTGTGACTCGGCTTCCTCACCCAGAACTCGTTGCCCACGATCTTGCCCGTGGCGTCCACCGCGCTGGGGTTGTTGTTGTTGCTCTCGGGCACCACGAAGATGAGGTCCACGCCACCCTCGACGGTCGTGACGGTCCTGGACAGGCCCAGCGCCTCGCCGGGGTTCCGCCAGTCGCACGCGAAGCCCCTGGCCGGCAGGGAGTCTCCCAGACGGCCCTGGCCGTGAAGGTGGTCACCGTCGTCGTCATCGCCGTGGTCGCGCGACGCCTCGGTCTCGAGCTGGCAAGGCAGAAAAAGGGGGTCGTACAGTCTTGCGGAAAAGCTGACTGGAGGCAGACGACTGCCAAACAATTGCGTCAACCATGTTGTTATTATATTTTAAAAGTGGTACAAAAATTGAAACAACTGCAAAAAGCAGAAAACAAAATTCCGCACTGTTTTTGATTAAGATCATGCTGAGAAAATTAATCGTGAAAGTCACAGTGGTTTCTGAAGAGCTGAGCCTGGACATAAGTCTCGCTGGGACAGCGGGGCCCTTCTCTTTCCCCATGACTAGCGACGCGTCGCGACGATTGCTTCTCTGGGTCAGTAGTCTCTCAGCTGGAAGGATAAATTACGAGCCCTTCTTCCACTGAAGATATGTATCTCATTTCTGCTTTGCAGGGTCGAAAAGCAGACAAACTCTTGTCCGCGCCCGCTTATCTACTTTTTCTATCTGCAACTGCTTCCGTCCAAATCTCGCCAACCTTGACGGCGAAAACGAAATTTTCATGCCGCGGTCCGTTGCCGCCGGATTTTGCCTGCGTGGCCATGGCCAAAATTATCTATGCTGCAATTTTCGGCACTGGCTGACGCATTTCAGCACAAAAACAAGCAAAGAATTACCAACAGGAAAAAGAGTTGTGAATTTCAACCCGAAATAGATTTAAAAAGGTTTAGTTGAATGTCCAAAAATGATGTTTTTCCATGGAACATGGGGTAAAACAAGGAAGTACCAAACAAACTTCTTAGTAAATTTCAAAAAAAGTAAATGTCAGAATTGATGTAAATTTTACGTCACTTGAAATGTACGACGTGCTTTTGACCACGATTTGTACTACCGGGGGGACCTTTTTTTCGAAACTGTCGGCATTTTTTGCCGAAGGCCCTCAAGACCCAAAAACAGGACCACTTTTATGGGGATTTGTTTATTAACGAAGGTTCCCTATATTTAAAAAGTGGATCTTTGTGTTTCGAAGGTCCTTCGTAAATTCCATTGTGATAGTAAAATCGACAGAGATCGTTCAAAAAATTAACGAAGGTTTTTGTAAATATACGAAGAGCTTCGTAAATTAACGAAGGAACCGTTGGCAATTTTTTTGCCGAAGGATCCGTCGTTTATTCCGGACATTAATTTTTACAGTGAGGACAGAGCAGTGACCTCAACCAGAAATCAGATAACAAGTTTCATTTTTTTTTAAAAATGATGCACCATGGTGAAGCATGGGGCGCTAAGAACCAGGGAGTACCAAACAGCTCACCTGTTGTGAACAGTCTCAAAATAAAAGATTTTTGTCAGAAATTGATCCATTTTGACGTCACATTGACATTATTTGATGTGATTTTGACCTGATTTTGACTCCTGGGGGGAGCGCTTTCTTTCGAAACTTTTCACTTTGAGCTGAGCGTCAAGACCGAAAACAGTGACGCACTATATGTATTTGTACAATGTCTTAAGTGGTCTCACACAAATTTAAACATGTGGATTTTTGTGTACAAATTTGTGTGCATAAATGCAAAATTGCTTTGAAATTTGTCGGAAAAGCACGCGTGCGCAAAATTATGCGAGACCAACAAAAATTGTAGAAAGTAAGTTAGTGTAGTCTGAGGAATAAAAAGGTCCTTCGACTCGTTGCGCACCACTGTGCTTACTGTACCTGCTGCAACTGCACCAGCCCCAGCGTCTCCTGGACCTGCACCGCGTTCTGGTCGATGCAGATCACCCGGCAGCCCAGCCCCACCAGCTGCAGGCTCAGCTCGCGGCCCAGGCCGTCCCCACAGCCCGACACCTGCGCAGAGAAAGGGACCAATCAGGCGAGACGCGCTCACTGCACACTATGTCATTGGCTGCGCACTGTCATAGGCTGCACACTGTCATAGGCTGCACTCTGTCAGTCTGCACACTGTCACAGGCTGCACACTGTCAGGCTGCACACTGTCATAGGCTGCACGCTGTCATACGCTGCACGCTGTCATAGGCTGCACACTGTCACAGGCTGCACACTGTCATACGCTGCACACTGTCATAGGCTGCACACTGTCAGTCTGCACACTGTCACAGGCTGCACACTGTCAGGCAGCTCACTATCAGGCTGGGCTCGCAGCCCAAAGCGCATTTGGACGCAGCTATCACAAGCCAACCATCGATCATCAATTTCCGCCCAAGGAGAACGGGTGGGTAGTCAAAATCCAGGTCAATGTGACGTCAATAACATCATATAGCCCTAAATTTTTGACCATAAGACGCTTATTTTGGGGACATTGACATTATTTGGATTTGTTTTGTTGTGGTTGAGTGTTAATGAATTAATTCCGATTAAACCACTGCAACTGAAGCGAAAAAATATGTGTGTGTCTAGGTGTGTCTGTGTGATTGTAATTCAGAATTTAACCTGATCTGATCAAATCGCGACCCGGGTGTCATACTGAGAGGGGCCGAATGCAGAGATCATTTGGTGCCGTTGATCAGGTTTTCACAGGTTCGCTTTTGATAAATTTCGATGTTGCAATCAGACGGACCTGGATCTGACTCGTCGGGGCACCCCTTGTCTCTGGGAGGTGCGCGCAGCTCCATGGAGGCTCCAGGAAGCCTTGACAAATCTCTGCGTGCTTATGGCGGTGCGTAGACCAGCCAGCGCGCCTGAGCATGCGTCGCGCGTGCGCTTGCACCTCGTTTTGCGTGCGTTTCCGTGCGTTCGCGTGTCGGTGTGTGTGTGTGTGTGTGTGTGTGTTTGTGTGTGTGTGTGTGTGTGTGTGTTTGTGTGTGCGTGTGTGAGAGAGTGTGTGTGTCCGAGAGCGAGTGTGTGTTCGAGTGTGAGTGCGTGAGTGTGTGAGTGTGTTCGAGTGTGAGTGTGTGTGCGCATGTGTGCCGCGGGTCGCCACGCTTTGATGCGCCCGGCGATAGCAAACACTGGCCAGCCTAGCCTAGACACCACTACACTAGAAGTGCGTGCTGCTAACCGCATAATGACGCGCGTAACAATGAAGCAGCGCTTAAAGCGAGCGTCGCGGTGACGCGCTTCCAAGTGACAATTATTAAAAGGCAGTTCGCGCGCTCGCCTCATTTCCAACTTGAAAGGATTTTTCCTTTTTCTCACAATGTTTGGTCGAGCAAGTGACTACATCACTGAGAATGACCGAGTCACCACCATCGCCCCTCAAATGGGTGATGCAACTTTGATGCTCAATATTGGTTGACGAAAAATTCATTAGTCGAAATTCGGTAACAGACGTTTCGTTGCCCAAATTTGAGAAACGTCAATGAATACGTAATGATAAAATTTCGACTGAAGGATGAGAGTGAACACTTGGATTCTTCCTCCGGGCCACATCGTAAGGATTATTTCTGTTAGTGTATTAGAGAGTTGTTATAAAAGATGAGGTCCGTCTCGAGGGACTGGAGGCTCCGATCCTTGACCTGCCACAGGTCCGGCTCGCGCCAGCTCGCGCCCAGCTGACGACCATTTAACGAGCGCCCAGTCCGGCGATTCGGCAGTCGCTTCCTGAGGCGTGGCGTGGCGTGGCGTGGCGTGGCCTGGCGTGGCGGCGTGGCACGGCCGGACAAACAAATCCCCAAATTGCACTCGGCTTGACATTGGCGCGGACGGGTTCAAAGCCCGTACCGATGCTGCACGCGAACAATGCCTCCGTGAGAGTGAGCCGAGCCACCGGACGGAGGTCGTGGAGGGCAGCGAGAGAGAGAGAGAGACAGAGAGAGAAAGAGAGAGAGAGAGAGGGGGGGACGGGCAGGGGGAGGGGGGATTCACCGAGCCACGCCACGACAGCCACGGCCACGGCCAAGGTCCGCGGAAGGTCCTGCGCAGGCATCCCGACAGCCCTGGCCTGGGCGGCCCTGGCGGCCCCTGGCTCGCCCTGCCCAGACCGCTCCGGATCTCGAGTGGCTCCAGAGGGCGCGGTACCAAACGCTGCGTGCGTGCAGTCACTCCCAGAGCTTCCGTAAACAGGAAAGGCTTCTTCACGCCCTGCCCCGAGCACACCAAATCCCTTCGTACAATTTTTGTATGTGGTCTCACCCAATTTTGCGCTTGCGTGCTTTTTGTACAAATTTGTACACAGTTTCGAACGAAGTTTTGCGATTCTGCGTTTCAATTTGTACGAAAAAGTTCGCATGTTTGGAGCTGTGTGACACCACGTGCATAACTATGACAAAAGTATGCTGTTTTAAAATTTTGCTCCACTAGTGGCCAACGAATGTGACGTCAGAGGAGGCCCTGATTCCAGGCGGGGCTCCTATTCTTGACCTGCGTTTAATTCTCCGGCCTCTAGACCAGTTCTGGAACCCGTGTGAAGCTTGTCTAGGGTCTATCTAGCCCTGCTTGCGGGGAAGAATTGAACATTGCAGGAGCGGGGAGAAAATCACACCACGCCTATTTTATTCTGAATTGTCGCATTTTGATGCTCGGAAAATAAACTCTACCGGTTGTTGTTGCGGTGCCGTACTTGTTCGTGTGACAGAACTTAGTAAGTCTCAGAATAAGGGCATCCAGTTTGAAAGTGGGGCGTCTGATTTCCCCCCACCCCCGAGGTGTTCAGTTCTTCCCCGCACGGCCCCTAGTGCGACTAGTTGTCGCGAAACCACTCTCTAGGCGCAGCTAAACTCTCATCTCAGTGTCTCACACTCGTGTAAATGTTATCACAATGTCAGAAACCTGTCTGAAAACCTGATCAAAATTCGCGCACCTCTGAAAGCTGAAAACATCTCCTGACATTCTGTAGAACTCACACCATCAATATCAGAGTAAGTTTTCAGAATTTCAGCTTTCAGAGGTGCGCGAATTTTGATCAGGATTTCAGACATGTTTCTGACATTCTGACAAAATTTACACGAGTGCAGCCGAACCCAAACAATATTGGCGTCCGAGAGCTGCGCCCAGCAGTACTTGAGTTTTTATTTTTGTCAATGCACCTTTTTCCGAGCTATGTTTACGTTGTTTGCCATCGAGCAATGGCCATTGAACAATGTTGTAAGCAATGTAACAATGTTGTAACAATGTTGTAAGCAATGGGACACCGTGGCCAAAATATGAAATATCGCCCACACAAATGCGCTATGGTTCGTTGGCAAACTACGTAAAAGTAGCTGGCAAAAAAGGTATATTCATTGTATTTTCGCGATCCCGACACAGTGCTCAGGACGCGGTGCACGTCGAGGCCAATTTTGGCCAGCAGATTCGATTTGGAAGCCCTGTTCCCGGCGCGTCCCACGCACACGGTGGTCATTCCGAATATTGCACGAAGAAGCGATTTTCGGCGGCGTGCGTCCGTGCCCGCCTGTGAGTTTCCTGTGGGTTTCGCTTCCCATGCATGGTGCGGCCAACGCTTCGGCCGACCCTCCGCAACGCGACCCCGTTCTCCCACTGCCCCACAGCACCGCCGCCAGTACACTGTAGGGGACCTCCGCGACGCACCGCGACGCACCGCGACGCCAGAATGGCGCTAGCCTTGGATAGCACCGAGAACCTGCTCACCGCCAGCGCTGTCACCGCGCTACTTACTCTGCAGCAGCATCAGCATCAACGACAACGACAACAAACAACAACAACAAAACAAAACCAACAAAACAACAACAACAACAACAACAACAACAACAACAACAGACTGTAAGCCGTGCGCGGTCCGGCACGCGGAAGGTAAACACGGCAGTGAAGGGTGTGGCGAGGTGCACCAAACCAGGACGCCGCCCTCCATCGCCCCGCCCTGCCCTGGGCTATCTTACCTTGCACTTCGCAGCCCCGCCGCGCCCGCCCCGCCCCGCCCCACCCCACCCCACCCACCCCGCCACGCAGTGGACCCCCTCCCATGCCCGCACGCAGCAGCAGTGGACAGACACCCACGTGCCAAGCAGCAGCAGGTCGGTTCGAATGTAGTGTACTCCGCCGCTCCTCCGTCTCTCTCGCACCTGTACGGGACGCCCCATGGAGCGTGAGAGAGACAGAGCGACGCAAAAGCACAGCTCAGCCTGCAGTGCACACTGCGCCTGCGGCGTGTCCCGAGCGACAACGAGTGGACTCTTGGGCCGCCCGCTCAGTGGCCCCCTGTATGCAAATCCAGAGTGCTTGGATGCTGTGTTTACTGCGAAAGAAACGCTTGGGACGAAGAATCTTGTCTTACTTTTACAGCGGCTGCGTGTCGGCTAGTTTTACCGGCAGATGTCGTTCCATGTCACTTGCTTCACACCGAAAAGGAAACGATTCTGGTGGCAAAAGTACAACCTGCCTTCATCCTTGATCCTTTTCCCGATTCCGAGCTGGAGCGGACTGGGGCAATAACTGTGACAGTGCTGGCATGTGTAGGTCGACCTGATGCCCTTGCGCGTCGCGTGTGTGTGTGTGTGTGCGCGCGTAGAAAAACAGGGGGGGGGGATTGAAGCGGCTGGCACAGGTTAGAAGCGGAGCATAGCTGACTGCGGAACGCTTTCTACGCGACCTTGATGGCCTTGGCGATCCTACCGGTACACTGATATTCAACCAATGTGACGTCATATTTGTGAGAATGCGATTTTTGTCACGTTTCATGGAATGCGATGTCACATGGGTTGGAATGTTGATCCACGCTCAAACGAATGTGACACCCTAATTAGACGGCCGAGTCACGTTCCAATGAATGTGACTTTGTATTTAAAGGAACTGGCTGTAATTCACATTCTGACGAAGATGACGTCACTTTTTTGATAGGCCGTGTACCACCCTGCAACCAACTCTGACCAAAACGCTCTGCCTCAAGTGCATGCCTCAGGCTCGACAGACGAGCACTCGTGGACAGAGCGACGAATGCACTGCTTAAGCAGCCTGGCAAGCTTCCGAATTTAGCCCACAGCCCGGAGCGACTAGGTCCATCGCCGTTGAGTTATATTGATGTGGGGAAGCGGTTCGCGGCCGTCCAGTGGGAAGGTCCAAGGCGAAGCGGCGCTCTACTGAACCAAGGACGGACTCCTGGCTTATATTCGCCGTTGCCGTGCTGCACCCCGTTACATGCTCTGCGAACTCTACAGTGTCAGTTTTCTTCAGCGTACTCAACGAGTACCCTCCCACGAGCGAGTACTCAGATGAGTATACTCTGACCAGAAAACGAAGAGCCCTGAGTTCTCGCGTTTTATGGCATCTGCCGCCTTGGCTAGCTTTGCAGGTAGCCCTCGACCGCGAGAACCCAGGGCTCTTCGTTTTCAGGTCAGCGTATAGTACAACTTCACTAGCATATATTGCTAGGCGTGGGGTGTACTCATTTGAGTACACACTGTGGAAGTGTACTATCTGAGTATATTCTCGTTTGGATTGCACTCATTTAAGTACGATCTCGTTCGTAGGATTGTCCTCATCTGAGAACACTCTCGTAGGCGTGTACTTGTGAGTACATGACGAAGTGCACTGAGTGCACTGTCGAGTTTGCAAAGTGGGTCATCTAAGGACACACACACTCACATCAATCAGGTTTACAACTAAAGACATACGCACCAGTGCCCTCTTGCCGCGCAGGCTGCAGCTCTTGGATCCGGCGCCGCCCAGGAGCCAGGACCAGATGGAGGCGAGGCCCTGGCCGAGGCCCTGGCCGTGGCCCTGCCCCAACGGGGGCCCCTGCCCCAACGGGGGCCCCGCTCGGCCCGCTCGCCCTCTCCCTGCTCCGGGGTCCGGCCGGAGCCTGGTCCCGCCGCAAGCGGTCATACCTGCAACGCAAAAAGAAGCAAAAAGCGAGAAAATGAAAAACGCACCAGGAAGCGCTCAACAAAGAGACTGCAGAAACAAACAGGGAAAAGGGGTGTGGCCTTGGCGCGCCGGCTCGCGCTGCATTGGACCGTGACGTCCACGCTCTGTCTCTGTCGCACTCATGGACTGTCCCGTAGGCGTGCGAGAGAGACAGGGCGAGGCGTCGGGAGAAAGAAGCAGTCTGGTCCACTTTCCTCTCGCTGGTCCGCTGCGAACAGCCGGTGAAGGTGTCAAACACGTCTAGCACGACCGAGTCAGTGGGCCTCGTCAAGAGCGGCAAAAAAAAACCACAAAAAAACGAAGAATTTTGAGTCAACCTTTTAAGCAGTATTCTTTGAAAAAAAAAACAAAAAAAAAACTTGAAAATAATTTTTGCATTTTGAGCTTCCCCTCTTCCATTGTCATTCCCTCTTGTCCCTTCGCAGCTCCCTCCCCTGCCCCACTCAGTCCCCCTCCTCGGGACACTCGGGCTCGGTGTAGCATTGCTGCCTGGTCAGTCTCGGCCACACGAGCGGCCACACCTGTGAAGACAAGACCCGGTTCCGGCTGGCCTTGCACCTTTCGATGCGTTCGCGAGGGCGGCGCGGCGGAGCGCAGCCGCAAGCGAAGCGGTCGCACAGCCGGCAACGCTGCGCCTCTCAATGCATTCGATTGATCGAAACCAAAAGCTTCACGATGCGGGGTGACGACAGGCAAATTTCGAGTCAGTCGGATCTCGGTTACGAATTACGCCTGTTACGCGCGGATTACCTTCTTGACAACCCAAAAATTCTGAGATTACCTTTGAATAACGCCGAATTACCTCAAATTTTGTATTGATTACCTTCGTGACTAAATCAAAAAATTTCTAGGATTACACCTTGTATTAACTCCGGGTTGCCTCGAAATTTCCGGTAATCCGGGATTATGGATAACCAATTTTGCTGTCAGCCGGATTACCTTTGAATAACGCCGAATTACCTCGAAATTGGTGTTGATTACCTTCGTGACTAAATCAAAAAATTTCTAGGATTACGCCTTGTATTAACGCCGGATTACCTCGAAATTTCCGGTAATCCGGGATTACGGATAACCAATTTTGCTTTCAGCCGGATTATCGATGTCGTTTCCGCCCTCAGCCCGTCGTGGCAGTCCGAACCAGGTAGTAGTGGCCAGAAACCTGCCCACAAGATTCACGTTTGACCTCGCAGCCGCTGTCCCTGCCCTAGCCTAGACCGGTGTTAAAACTGCCCAATTCATAGGCAGCCATCCTTGTTGGTCACGCACTTCCGGGCTCGGTAGTAAACCAATTCTCACCCAGTTCGCGAACGCCGCGCTACGCCACTGGCTACAATTCGCACTGGGAGGGCCAAGCGCCCGTTCGTCCCTCCAGTGGCCTTGCTAGGCAAATCGCGTTCTAGAACAAAGCGTGCGCGCTTAAAACCTTACGAAGTATTTCGAGCATATGCAAGTTACAAGCTATTTAGTTTGTTTTAGGAAGAATTAGTCCGTAAATTACGGAGTACCCTTTGTAAGCTTATGTGTGTTCAAAATATATAACAAGCTACTTTTGTCGACATTTGGGAATTACAGATCTGTTATGCCTAAAATAGTACGTACGGTTTTCAGAGAGTGCGAAGGCAACAATGTTGTAGTTTTTTTCGCGATTTTTAGAATCTGTATATGAAGCCGGTAACCAGATGTCATTTTTATGCGAGATGTTGTCTCTAGAAATCAAAAAATACGAGGAAAAATGGATATTGCAAGTGCACGCTTTGCAGCACCTTGAAATCCACGAAGAGAACAAAACTAAGGACTCAACCGGCCGGAGATCCTGCAGGAGGTTTACGACGAGGCCCTCCTTCATTACGGCCCCAGCAAATGCAGCGCGCATTAAATCGAAATCGCTTTCGGCTGAGTGCTGGCGGTGCTCACGGGGCCTCCCGACGACCTCTGGGAATATTCCTCCAGACGTGGCGGCAAAAACGAGCAATCTGCCCCTGCTGCTGGACTTCGATCGAATTGTACTCGCAACTCAGTCGCGAAAGGAAAGATGTCGCAGGCGTACAGGTGCGGTGGCAGCACCCTCGTACAGGGTTGCTGTTCGCGGCTTTGTTCGCCTCAACAACAACTAAATTTTCTGTTTTTCTGAGTCTTGTAGCTAAACGGTTTTGAGTTTGCGTTTGCCCAAGGGGATAGCGACTGGTAAAATTCATGTCAGCCGGATTACGAAGACATAACAGGATCACATTTGCTGGATTATCCCGGATTACCTCCGGAATTCCCCGGATTGCCACCGGATTACCTCGAAATTTCTGGTAATCTGGATAACGGATTACCCAAGTCGTAGCCCTCTGCCCTCCTGATTATTTTCCTGACTTCGAACATCTGCCGCCGGCTGTCCAAGAAGCGAGTCTCTCGACGGCGACTGCTATTTTTTCTGCGCATTGTTTGGTTCGAGAGTCTCAAGGCGTCAGGCGGCACTAACTTTGATGCGAGTTCCGGCATCGCTCGCCACCACGCAATGACGCCTTTGAACACATACGCGAGCGCGCGCTTAGCCCCGGGAGGTGGGGGGAGGCAGGTAGACACGTGTAGATCGTACAGCGTCTGCCTGTCGGATGGCCAGTAATTTGAAACGACGTCAGCGTCCCAGAAGCGGAGACGAAACAACTAAGTGCAGTCATTGAATGGAGACGGGTTGTGTTTCGTGAGCGCCGTGATCCCAGCGTGGACATGGATTCACACGATCTACGCCACGTGTTTGGTGGCACCGCGACCAGCACGGCCAGCATGCACCTGCAGAACATTGGGGGAGCACAGTTTTTGCGGCGATGACACTTCCTAACTGTCTACTTCACACTTACAAACACATATTTATTGTACAGTTGGCCAGTACACACCTACAGTTGCTTAATTGCTTAATTGTAAGTGTGTGCTTGGGCCAGCTTGGGCAAGTATGTATGTAGCTCATTAAAGATGAACAAATTCTAGTTTTACAAATGAATTAAACTTAACTAAACATGCTACAAAAAGGTACTTATTTTTCTAGACATTTGTGATTTTTTAAAAATGAAAGTTTTAATTTATTCTTTTGATGAGGGTACTTGCCAAGTACGTGTTTATAAGTGTGAACTTTCCAATAATTTTTTTTTCGTTTTCGTCGGTCACGGTATGGGTCACGCACTGAAATTCTTACAACCAAATCGCACCACAGTCAATTCAGCACAAGCATAATATGAAGCAGAATTTGTCCGAAACCATCCCATTTTCAATTTCTTGAAGATAGTTCGTATTATGCTTGTGTTGATTTCTGCGTATTACGGCAAAGTTCTTCATCAGAATCCTATTTTGCGAATACAAATCAATGGAGTTGAGACTTACTCTGTTTTCCATTTGTAGGGAATCGAAAATATATCCTTTATCCTTTATGCACCAACGATTCCGATGGTGCCGTGCAGCACCCACTTTTGCACTTCACTTCACCTTTTGCACAAATTATCCTCCATCTTCCATGCACGAGACACACAAACTCAACACGGACGAGACTCAGTTTCGTCTTTTCCAGTGACGCGAACAAGCCGGCAGGGTTCGCAACGCGAGCAACGCCAGCAGCAAGCCTCGCTGCGAACGCGGCGGGACTGAGAGGTTGAATGAGCCCGCTTCCCGCTCGCCACTCCCGGCCCTTCCCCCTCTCTCCCGCACACTCTCCCCGCCCCCGTCTCACCATGGTCCCGCTCTGTCCCGGACAACACGGAGCGACCAACCGCACGGCAGGGCGATAAAGGATTCACTCGGGGCTTTTCCAGAAATGTGATGACGTGCCAAAGATTGCACCCACAAACAAAAAGTAGTAATTGTTCTCGATCTTCGATGTGGCCTGGCCGTTTCTGTCTGCTGGAAGAACATGAACGTCAAATAACATGTTTTCCTGGACACGTGAGTCGCATGCCGCGCTGCATTATGCTTGATGCGAACACGCTGTCAAGCGCCTCGATCATGTGTGGTCTAGCCCTTAGTGGTAATGGTAATGGTTTGTAGGCAACCTCTGCGTATGCGAGCATGCGTGTCCCGCGGGCTGGCCTACCCTAACCGAGCGCAGGCGCTCTGTGTTGGTGACGAAGGTCAAGGTGTCGGTTGAAATGTGAGTTCACGTTGTTTTATCCTTTGTTTTTCTGGCGGTGCATCCACTCTCCGTCCGAGAAGGTCCTGGTGCGGTGCGTCCTGCCCTGCACCTCTGTCGCCTGCCCCCGTCTGCCGCAGACTGGTTCCCGGCGGGTTCTTCGACCTCACTCCGCCGTCCGTCTCCGGCAGTCGTTTTATTTTGCAGCCACAGTGGGCTGCCGAGTGGGCCACTAAAGGTCCCGCAATGCCAAGCCATTCTTAAGTTTGAGCGGTGTGATTTCACGTCACGTGCTCACAATAAAATTCCCCGACCCACTGTGCGAACAAGGGTACTGTAGACGTTCGTGAAGTCTGAGCACATAAGTCTCGACATTTTTTTTCGGAGTTACTCGTACGGGACACCCACGCGACAAAAGTTGTATGGCTCCCCTTTCAACGAAACAAGACGTACTTCTTTAAGTCTTCCACAGGCCACAACTCACCTCAGACCCCGTGCGAGGCCACACCGCCGTTGTGCTAAATTTGGGGATCGCAACACTCGTTGACACCTCTAAGTGCACGCCATCCCATCAAGGTACAACTATTTGGCACGTATGCTGGACGCCGCCGGTTCCGTCGTGGTGGCCATTTACCATTCCGCTTCCCCCGTCCCCCTTCACCAGTCACACTTCACCCTTCACACTCCCGTCACCCTTCATCATCCGTTATCCTTCATCCTTCACCATCACCCTTTACCCTTTGACCTTCGCCCTTCACCCTTCACAATTCATCCTTATCCTTTATCCTTTATCCTTTATCCTTTATCCTTTTCATCCTTCATCCTTCATTCCCTCATCCTTCCTCCTTCATCCTTCACCATCACCCTTTACCCTTCACCCTTCACAATACATCCTTTATCCTTCATCCTTCACCATCACCCTTTACCCTCACCATTCACCATTCATCCTTTAACCTTCACCCTTCCTTCACCATCAACCTTTACCCTTCACACTTTGCCCTTCACCAGTCACACTTCACCGTTCACCAGTCACCCTTCACCGTTCACCGTTCACCAGTCACCATCACCCTTTACCTTCCACACTTCGCCCTTCACCCTTCACCCGTTCCAGGGAGACTCTACACCGTTGGCTGTCCACTGGGCGACTGCTTCCTGCGACCTCGGGGCTCGGCGTCTCTGCCTTGGTTTGTGCCGAGTCTCGGATTTGGCGGCTCGCACTCCATCTGCATGCCAGTCACATCCTGGCGCCGTGCTGCGCGGTGCTGCGCTTCGCCGTCGAGGCCGAGCAGGCCCCGCCGCTGGCCGTGCATGACCAGGCCCAGGGCGGCCCAGGGTCCCATCCTCCATCAAGATAAGGCCGGTCCAGAAGGCGTGTCCACGACACTGCACACTGATTCCGAGAGTCGTTTTCGCCGCTCTGTCTCTCTCGCAACCATGCGGGACGCCCCAGGAGTGCGAGAGAGACAGATCGACGAAAATGAACTCTCGGAATGAGTCCACTAGACCGCGACTGCCGCGAATGTCGCGATGGCGTCCAGCTTGGATCAGTGCTCCTTTGTCGTGACAATGGATTCAGTCAGACCGCTGATCATCTTTTTAAAACCCTCGCTTAAGTCGATTTGAAAGATCAACTCGATTTCCTTGAAAATAAAATCTCCTTGCTGAATCTTTTGAGTGTAGTGTCGAGTTTGAGACTTTCAAGGAATCGCTGCGAATAAAGCACGCGGTTAGTGAAAACCGTAGCGCGTTGGCGCACGCACGCGAGGAGACGCACCTGCACACACAGGCACCCACACACCTACACACTCACATACATTCACACACACACACACACACACACACACACACACACAAACACACAAACACACACAGAGGCGCACGCTCACGTTCGCACCCTTGACGATTTGCTTATTCCCAAGGACGGCGGCGGCGTTGGTTTTGCTGCTCCGCGTCCATCTCGATTTTCCGAGCCTAATTGGCTGCAGCAGACTAGTTTCCGAGAGTTCCTTCTCGTCGCTCGGTCTCTGTCGCCCTCACGGGGCGTCCCGTACTGGAGCGAGGGAGACATGGACTCAAACGACCCTCGGAATCGGTCTGCTGGCCGAAGCGAGGCGCTCCAGAAAGGGGAGCGGACAGGCCGAGACAGACCGCGCTGAACACAGGGAGTACAGTGCCGTGAACAGGGTCGCTGGGGTAAAAAACGCAGTGTAAAAGCTTGCAGAGCAGTCCAAACACATCCTTGGATATCCGTACGAATATTTTCCCGAAAGGAAGCAAAGCAACAAAAATCTGAAAATCCAAGTAAATTTGAGTCCATTTGATTTAATTTTTTTTCGAGTGCTGCCTTCTGTATTGCGTGAATACGGCACTGCAAGTGCGCACAGAAAATAATGGAAATGAAAAAGAGGTATCGTTGGCGTGCGAGGCCGGTTCCACCGCGGCCGCAGCCAACAGTTGCGGATCCAAAGTCGGCCCAAAGGAGCGGGGGGGGGGGGGACATTTTGCCAACTTACCGGGTTGCCTAGAGCCTACCTTCCAGGCGGCTATCTAGTCGTCCGGGGGATTATCCTCCCCTCTTTTTTTCTGGATCCGCTCTTTTGCAGCCCAACTGGCTGCGGTGGCCTCAGAGACTGGAGCCCTGCTGGCCTCCAGGAGGCTCCTGACCCCGGCCAGCGGAGGGCACGTTGTTGGGGTCGGATGAGAAGGGCCCAGGGCCTCAAGGCGGTGGCGTGCCGCCGCGGGGGGGGGGGGGGGGGGATGTCTTGATGGGTTCCGTCCGCGACGTGCCGCCACTACACTACACCGAGTAACCGAGCGGGTCCTTCCTCCGCCGAGACGGCGTCACCGCGACAGTCAAAATCTAATTTAATACTCATTTCGCCCGGCGGCGAGGATGCTGACGACTCGATGAGTCACACACACAGCGGCCGAGCGACCAGGATCCCTGATTGCAGGATGTGTCCAGGACACGGGCCGGCAGGTGGATGCTGAGCAATGCTTGTCACTGTCTCGCAGCCCCATGAGCCTCCGTGAGTGCGAGAGAGACAGAGTGACACAAACACTGTTTGGAATCAGCATGCTGCTGAAGTTCCACGCTCGCCGAGCATTGCAGACGTGTTTGAACAGTGTCGTATCCTTTCCCCACCCACGCTCTAGTCGGGCTGCAGCCACGCTCCGTCGCTCCAGAGTACACCAGAGACTGAGTCCTTTTCGTCGCTCCGTCTCTCTCGCACTCATGGGGCGTCCCGTATAGGTGCGAGAGAGACAGAGCGACGAAATCTCAGAATCAGTGTGCAAGCCAAGCCGGGCCACGCCAGGCCTCTCCAGGGCCCAGCGCGCTCTGGTCACGTTCGAGCGACGCCGGGAGCGACGCTCCGGACGAAGGCAAGGTCAAGGCGCCGCCGCACAGTGGGCCAGAAACCGGCGCAGGCGGCCAAAATTCGAGACGCGTTTTGAGCTCCAGAGTCGCTAAATGGGGCTCAAACCGAGCGTGTGCACTGTGCGAAAAAACCACAGTGAATCCCGTTAATTTTTTTGCCGGGATTTACTGTAGTTTAGAACACAGGATCTACTGTGCCTGGCTACAGTATTTACTGTACCTGGTACAGGACATTCCGTACTCCACTACTGTGGTACAGTAAATCCCGTACAAAGTACAGTAGATCCTGTCAAAAAAGTACAGTAATCGCAGGCTCCAACACGGGGAGCGTTTTATCACAGAGTCGCTAATGGGTTTTTTCCAGGTGTGCCCACTGATTGTTCGCAGAGATCCATGGTCGGTTATTCGTTCGCCTCTTGACTCTGGAGCTCAGTAGGTTTAGATATACAGACTACGTGCTGCTCAGATGTGGCTGCCGACTGGGACGAGGCATTCCGACCCACTACTGTGAGCGACAGGTAAGATCCCGTACAAAGTAAGTAGAGCGTCAAAAGTGACAGTAAACGCTGTCTCTGAACTACAGTTGGAGCGCTTGTCAGCTTCGGGATTTACTGGATTTAACCCAGAGGGTGACCCCACCAATGGATTCCTCGTTCGGAGAGAAATCCATCGGTGGGGTCACACGTTCGATGAAACATTTTCGACTCTGGAGCTCAACGCGTCTCGAATTTTGGCCGCCTGCGTCGGTTGCTGGCCCACTGTGCGCCGTGCCGCCGACTGGGGCGAGGTGGAGTCGAGTCAAGTCAAAGAGTGCGGCAGCCAGACGGCGAGTGAGCTCTGAGACAGCGCGCCGGGAGGATAGGCAGCCCCTTTGACCGGGCCGTTCTGTGGGAAGGGGCAGCGCAGGCGTCCAATACGATAGACGCGTTTTAAGCTCCGGAGTCGGTACATGGGACTCGAATCGAACGTGTGACCCGAGTGTGAGCCCACCAATTAATTGCTCTCCGAACGAGGAATTCATTGGTGGGGTCGACACGATCGGTTCGAGTCCAATTGAGCGACCCTGGAGCTCAAAACGCGTCTTTGGCGGCCCACTGCGAGGCCCACTGTGGGCCGGACTGCCGGATGCGCGTAGAATAATGGTGTGCCAGCCGCGACTTGGCCGGGGAGTTCGAAGCTGTGCGGTTTGCGGCGATTGCGATGCGATTTATGTAGTAGATTCATAACGTCCTCGTCCAAACCCGTCCAAACTACATCTTACAATGCGCGGTACTCTGCCGCTTCTCTTCTTTCTACTGCACCAACTCTCTAAATATCTCCCAGCCCCGTCCCAGCCCTTAGAAAACTCTCCAGGGTCTCGCTAATGAAGTCCCTGACGGCACTTGCCACAGCTCTCTAGGCTAGACACGCGTATCCATTCCCCGGAGCTCTGCCGATGCCCCCCCCCCCAATCTACTGTTCACCTCCCTCACCGCGCGCCTCTCGTAGGGCGTCCCGTAGGGGCGTTCCGTAGGGGCGCGAGAGAGACAGAGAGACGAGGCGACCCTTCGGTGCCCTTCGGTACTTCGGCATCGCTCGGCTGGCGTCGCGACGCAGCGCGCGCAGCGCCGCGTCGTCTCGTCCCGGAATAAACAAGGGGTCTAAAATAAGCGCAGTGGAGGGGCGGGGAAGGGAAGGGCGGCGCGGTGAACCGGGCAGAGAGAGAAAAAGAAAAGAAAAAAAAGAATCGTCGCTCGCAGGCTCTTGCTAAGACAGGACATCGCCCCGCCCGCTCGCACCCGCTCGTCGCTCATGATCTTCACCTACTTTCTTCCAAATTTCTTCCGCAAGGATTCGACAAGTCTGTTCGGACGCAGTGAGTGCATCTCGTCTTCCCGAGGGTGAGTTTCAGCAGGTTTCCGATTCCCGTCATTCCCGTCCGCAGCCGCGAGCTTCTCAGAAACGTGCTCTTTTATCAAGCCCATCTCCGAGTACCTAGAGGAGGACACAGCTCTGATCACTAGACTAACAATAGTTTCGAGAAGTTCTGAAACATTATAGGTGCGCGCTTGCGTATCCGAGTATGAGCATGTGTGTCTTTCCTACTGAAGCATAACCTCCACTTGCTTCGTACTGTCTCTTCTGAAGATTCGCAGACAACATTTCAAAAGCAATTCATTAAGAAAATGGTGTAGAATCTGTAGAATTGAATGAGTTCCAATTATTTTTTTTTTGTCTATTTGTAATTCCCCCGTTGATTTTTGTTGTCCAGTATGGCACGACATGACACGAAAGTGAGAGTTCTTCCAGGGCAATCATGACTGAAAATGGGACCAACACTTGTCCAGCTCAATTTCTTAGTTTTCCATACCTGATTTCTAACGTTCTTTTAGCGCGTATGAACAGTTTAATCGGGCGTATACTTTAGAAAAGTGTTCATTAAAATGTTAATGAGTGTTGGCTGCACTGGAGAAATCTCTTGCATGTGCACCAACCAATGCAGCTAAGAAAGTCTAGGTATATCATTAATATCGTGAGTTAAAACTTTTACTAGCGACTACCAACATTTTATGTTTGTCTAAAGGGAATTCCAGTTTCTCTTGAGCCATTTTATTCCTGATTTTAACAACCATATGTTTTATGTTATTTTGTTATTTTTTGCTTGGTGACGGAAGCAGCGCCTTGAAATATAAACAAACTAACATTTTTTGCCGACGGCAGTATCGACATAATTTCCATTAATCGTTGTTGACTTGATTGATTTTCCCTCAGTTTTATATTTATTGTTGACTGTAAGTTTAAGGGATGGAGTTAAAGAGGTCTGAAAAGGTCACTTCATTTCAGAATCAGAGAAATCAAGTTTGCTCTGTGCCGAACTGTCTGACAAACGTGTCTGCATTTGTAGGCACTCGTCAAATAGGCACTTTTCTCTTTACAATATCAGTTTCAGATCTATTGTCATAGCCTGTTGTTTGCTCCTATACTTTTCTCTGTCTTCCTACATTCGACCCTCATATAGATTGTTAATCTGGTAAAATGTTTAAAATATGCCTGTTCCAACCTAAAAGGTTTCCTTTTCAATGTTGCATTTTGTAAATGCTGTGTTTGAACATTCTCAGATTCCCATCCTTCTTTTCACTCCAATTTGCTGCCTTTATGTTGCTTGTTGTTGATTCGAACACACTGCAACTGACTTCCATTTCCATGATCTGCCCATCGCTGAAAAATATACTATGTTCACTGTTGCATTTTTGTTGTCTTTCACAGGTGTTGAATGATCCAGCACAATGGAAGCAGTAGATAATAAAGGTTCAGAAGCTATTTCAAGCCTTTCCCTTAAAGAGGGCTCTGGCACTTCTCCAAATACCAAAGGAGATTCGGATAAAACAGCCATTGAAAATGGTGGTCTTAATGGCAGCAGTGAGAAAAAAATCTCCCAGGAGAAAGAATCTGTGGAAAAAGACGAAGCTAAAATCCCTATCAAACAGTCTGAACCTTCTGGAGGGAAACAGGGCAGTGTACGTGTTTTTCTTATGACATAACTTGAAATTATTTAATCAATTATTTTACTCAGCTCTAATTTCTTCCTTCTTCTTTCTTTGCAGAATAAATCTGCTGAAATTGTGAATAAGAAGTCCTCCCGAGAAGAGAAATATTCTCGCAGGAAGGATGAGCGAGGTGTTGATCAAGTCATGAAAGGCCTCAACTCATTTGAAACACCGCAGGAGAAGCTTGATGCCCTTGTTAAGAAGTATTCAGAAATCTATGATGAAAATCGGAAGCTTCAGGTATGATAAAGCCTTAAACTGATTCATTCTATATCGTCATAATTATTTACCGACTCTTCCTAACTTCTAGACTCAAACAAAAAACTATGAGCGACGGTTAATTCAAGTAGAGCGTGAAAAAGATTCTGCTCAAAGTGAACACAGTAAATCTGTGTTAGCTAGAAGTCGTTTGGAGGGGCTGTGCCGTGAGCTTCAAAGACAAAACAGAGCTATCAAGGTATTTTAATAGACAGCATATGTATACTCTGTAAAATAGGAACTCTTTTAAAGCACATCAAACTATGAATGACATTTTTCATTGTTCTGCAGGAAGAGAGTGTTTTGAAGATTCGCGAAGAAGAAGAAAAGAGGAAAGAAGTGTCCAATAAGTTTCAGAGCACTCTTGCAGAAATAACATCATTAATGCAACAAAACAATGAGAAGAATTCTAAACTACGAGACGACAATATTGAAATGACTACTAAGTTTAAATCTGTATGTGAGCAGTATGAACTTAGAGTGCAGGTATGGTTTAAATTTGTCTTATTGTTATTTTGTTAAAATTATGATTATTCCCTACAAACAAGTTGTTCATATTTATTGACATTTCAATGCCCTACAGCAAGTTGAAAAGATCTCAAAACAGATGCAGCTGGAAGCACAATTAGCTGATGCAAAACTTGCTAAGGCACATCTGGAGGCTAAAGCAGAGAAGGAGAACATGCTTCGAGAGAAACAGGATCTGCTCTTGGTAAATATTAAAATTGATTATACAATTTTTAACATTAGAATATTTCCTTGATTGTTTAGATTTTATACATGTTATGTGAGTACAATAGCACAGATCTTCTTCTTTGTATCAATAATAATAATAGGCAATTCAACTTTTGCTACTCTTTTAGGAACTTACCCAATGTCAAGTAAGAGCACGAGAGCAAGAAAAAACTGAGTTGAAGCTACGAGAGCAAGTTGAACTTTACACCAACAAGTATGATGAATTTCAGACAGCCTTGTCCCGTAGTAATGAGGTTTTTGGAGGATTCAAAGATGAAATGGATAAGGTATCAAAATTAAGCTAATCACAACTTTCCCCCTTTAAAAAAAGGATTTTATATTGAATGGTCTACTTTCTTTTTATTCAGATGTCAAAGAAAATTGTCAAACTGGAGAAAGAAACTTCAACTTGGAAGTTGCGATGGGAAAAAAGTCACCAGGCACTATTAGAAATGGCAACTGATAAGCAACAACGAGATGCTGAATTATCCTTAGCTAACCGCCAACTTAACCAACTGCACAAGTTGTGTCGGACATTAACGGAAGAACGAGCTAAACTTATGGCCCAGATAAATGCCATTGGTTAGTGGGGCTTGATTCACTCAAGGGTGAGCATTCACTCTCATTTCTTTTCAATGATAATTAATACCAAAATGTTTTCTTCATATTGCCAGGTGCCAACACACCAACAGATACTGCTAAAGAAGATAAGTTGGCTGCTGATATTGCAGAAGATCGTAGGAAATTGAATGACACATTGGACAGTCTTCAGTCTGTCATATTAGAAAGAGAGCTTCTGCACAAGCAGCAACAATTGGAGAAGCAGCAGCAGCAACTTCAAGTGGAACTTCAGAAGCAATTAGCTGCTGAACCCAAAGCCGAAGCATGTGAAGTAAAGACAGCTGAAAAGTCGCTTGATTCTAAAACAAGTTGCTCTAAGCCTGCTGAGACAAAAACACCTGTAGGTAAAAATGCTGAACAATCAAAGAAGAAAGGCAAAAAGCAGAAATCAGGCCGACAACCCTCTGATAAACCAACACCCTCTGAAGAGCTGAAACCAGAACTGAAAGAGGGTACTGCATCTCCATCAGGCAATACAGATCTTTCTAATGGAAATCCCTCTCAAGCTGAACTTACAACTTCTGCAGAACAAAATCAAGTAGAAGCTCAGGGATCATCGGCTCCTGTAACTGATCTCTCTTTGTCCGATTCCCTACCAGTGTCGACCCCACCTATTACTGAGCCTGAAATCCTAAGCCAAGTGCAACCAAAGATAAAGGATGTTACAGAAAAGTTGATAGTAGCAAGTCCTGATTCCAAACCTCTCAGTGCCCAAGAACCTAAGGCTTCAAAGGAGGCAGTTGCGCCATCAAATTCTGCTTGTAATGTACCAAGTGCACCTGCAACATTCAGCTATGCTGCTGCTCTAGGCAGCAAACCTGCGGAACCACTGGCAGAGAAAAATCAGATTGAAAAGACTCCTGCAGAGCCGGTAGTAGAGAAGAGTCAGATCGAAAAGACTCCTGCAGAGAAAGTAGTAGAGCAGAGTCAGATCGAAGAGACTCCTGCAGAGAAAGTAGTAGAGAAGAGTCAGATTGAAAAGACTCCCACAGAGCAAGTGAAAGAGAAGAGTGAGATTGAAAAGGCTCCCACAGATCCAGTGAAAGAGAAGAGTCAGATTGAAAAGACTCCCACAGAGCCAGTGAAAGAGAAGAGTCAGATTGAAAAGACTCCCACAGAGCCAGCGAAAGAGAAGGGTCAGATTGAAAAGACTCCCACAGAGCCAGTGAAAGAGAAGGGTCAGATTGAAAAGACTCCCACAGAGCCAGTGAAAGAAAAGAGTCAGATTGAAAAGACTGAAAAGGTACTTGCAGTGCCTCACACTGACGCTGCAGTGCCTGAGACCGTGAACACTGTTTCTGCAACTGTAGATGCAGTTAATGGCGTTCCCAAGCCAAAAGCGATGGAGGCAGCTATAACTCCCTCTGAAGAAGTTACTGCTGCCGTGCCCCTTGTAGTCTCGCCTCCCAAGAAGAGCAAGGTAACATGAAAACATTTCTATTTCTATGAGTGTTGAGTGCAGTGCGAGTTTTTTTCTGACGCATCTTCCTGATCTGTACCCTTGTTTGTGCTGAAGGGTTTTTTACCTATCTTACTTTAATATTCCTGCTCTGCTTGGCCTCAATGTTCCTATCCATTATATTTATTTATTGTTTCATAAGCAATTTTTAAATAAACTTCCTTCCACAAAAATGTTGCTTGTTCCACATTAAGGAAGGATTCACATTTCTACCTTAGCTGTAGTCTGTGATGCATGTTCATTTGGTATTACCATTCTTTTCCAATACATTACAACTCATTTGTCTTGTTTTATTATGATCATATCATCTAGCCATAATTTGCTGCCATAAAATGAAATGATCATAATAAATTTTAGAGAAATGCATTGGAATGAATCCTGTGCCTTTTATAGTAGATATAGTGTTTGAAAGTTCATTATGCTGTTTTCAATATGGAATATTACTTGGGGGAGGCCTTTTTTTAAAAGTTGGATGAAAGCTGATATAATTTTGCATCTTGTGCATCCTTTTAGTCACTGACCACCCCTATGAAATACTCCATGTTGATTAGCCATAGCCTAATATTATTTATTACAATTGTACTAATAATTTCTCCGCATAATATGTCTGGGCCCAGAACTGTGACAATCTGTTTTGATTTTGTGCCACCAAATGTGTCATAAGTCCACCCCTATTTTTACAGTAGTTTATTTTACATGAAAGTATCCCTGTACTGATATTTAAGACTGCAACATATTTTATTTTCTCATTAAGTAAACTTATTTATAGTCGTCTTCCCTACCTCTAGGGCAATAAAAACTTAAGCTTTTTTTGTGGTACTTAAATTGGTTCGATTTTGTAACTTAAATCGCGGCTATCTCGTTTAAATAAAATGGTATCCTTACCAGAAACAAAAGTTAAAAGTTTTTTATGTTTTTTTCAATTTTTTCCTCATTTATCCCATCCATTTTCTTACCATAAGAATGTTTCAACTTTAGTCATAGAAAGCAAAGATAGATAGTCTATGACATGACTAAATCCTGTTTACCAGAAGTAAGAAAATTTCTTTTTTTTCCGATGGATTTCATTGTTTTATCTGTAGTGAAATTCTTTTCTGTGTTCTAATTATGAATGATAATGGCAAACTTTCCGCCTGTAATCCATCCTGTAGACATTGTAACAGAAAAATAAATCCACTGGTTTGTCGTAAGGTTGTTTTCAGTTTATTTAACTACATTCGTCCATTTTTCTTACTAATACCTTTTTATTGTATTCATTACTCAGCTTGGCTTGCCTGCATTATTTGTCGTTACTATGTAAGAAGCCTATTGTCCTCCTCTGTTGAAGTTTTACAATATATCTTATGGCTTGATATTGGGTAGCTCCATGCATTCAATATGTTCTCATAACTTTGTAGTTTTGTTCACTCTGAGTGTGTTTTGAGTGATCTTAGATTATGAGGAAGTCATCATGGCATACTAAGATGTAGCAAGTCCATGTCTTGAATTTTAGATTTTCTTTTATCCCAGTCCTCTTTCTTATAATTTTCAATACTCCCTCCTCTGTTCAACTATCATTCAGACAGAGGGTTCAACATTTTTTTTTAAACAGTCAAGTCAAAGTTGAATGCAGGACAGCGTCTCAGTTTTTCATTTTAGATTATCGCGAATGGATTTCTTTTCAAACCAGCAGTTGATGCTTTTTCAATTTGGTTATAGAAAAGGGTTGGGCAGCCACTGGGGATCAAAGGTCGTTCAGCATCTCTGTTTCGGCTTTCGAAGCTGTTTGGTTGCCTCAAGCGACAGGGCCGGGCAACTCAGACGCATGACACAAGTTGAGAATGCAGCCATCCATTTTATATCTCTTAGAAACGAGGTAAAGTTTTGTGTTTATCTTTTCATTTCGTTTGAAATATCCAAGTCTTTTTGTTTTAAAGCATTAAAATACTTTGTTTTCGGAAATGGAATTTCCTGCTCCTGTTTGTTTTGTTTGAATTGATGTTTCATAACCATAATTTTAGAGGAAAAAAAAAACTTAAAGTGAAAAACAAAAGATGAAAGAGGATTCCAGATCAGTTGGAGAATGCTTGAGGCTGTCACCTGCACATAGGTTCAATGCATGGGTTGTTTCTGCTGTCCAGCTTGAGAGCTTGCTGCTCTGCGCTCTGATCCACCCTTACTTGCTTTTATTTAAATTATTTGCAGTTTATTGTATAGTGTAGGATGACTTAAATAATTCTTACATTTTACAACAATTTAAGATTAGGCAAAATTGAAAAAAATGAATTCAAGAAATTGCCTTATTGACCCCCTCCCCTCCTTCTTCCTGGATCTCACAGGCTCGACCACATACATCACCAACAAAAGCAGCTGGTTAGGTTGCCTTTCTCAAAGATGTGAATGCCTTTTTCAATGCCATAATGATTTCTCTATTTGAAGTTTTACAACATTTATTCCCCTCCCTGAAAATGGTCGTTATGCAACTCCTGTCCATTCTCTCTTCGACCCAGAGGAAATCGCCAATGGTGTCCATCCTGTTCGATTTGCCCAATCAATGTCGCTTGCTGCACTGCAAAAATATACAGTTGTTGCTCTTCAATCAACCACCTTATAAATTTGTCTGTGTTGCAGGAAAGTGGCAGGAAGAGGAAGAAGTGAACACGAGTCGGCGCGCGGCGCGTGTACGCTGCAGCCTGCAGCTCAGTAGCAAAAGAACATTATCTCGATGTGTTAAAGGCTTGTGATTTCCCTACAATCCGAATTGTCTTTTGTTATTTCAAAATCATCAACTATCCTTTGTTTGTTAACTGTTTTTCTTGCTGTGAATTACACCTTTTCTTTTGTTTTCTTTGTTTTGAACGAAACTGAATTGTGTGTTTTTTTTTCTGGCTAATGAGTATTGCTGTGGTGATTTTTCAAGGGAAGGCCGCGAGCATCTCACCTACACCAATCACAGTGCATACAAGGATCGCAAGGCAGTTCCCTGCCAGCATGGCCAGGCCAGGCGAGCCCAACACTCAAATCGAAAGAAAGTTTTGTGGGTTCAGGCTATATCAAGTTAAGGAAATTCACAGTTCACAGATAGGGTAAGGCGGGGAGTCTTCACAATTCACAGCTCCCCGCCTCACCCCTCACCCTATCTGTGAACTGTGAATTTCCTTAACTTGATATAGCCACAGTATGCTGAAGCGCCTGTGGGTTGGGCCACCGATCCGATCCACAGCGCACCGGTGTGGAGACGGTGGCCTACGTCTACCCCTGACGTCTTCACAGGGGCGAGGTAGGCCACCATCTCCACACGAGTGTGCCGCAGAACGAATTGGTAGCCTACCTCACAGGCGCTGAGCAAGCATGTGCAAGACGGGCTCCTAGCAAACTAGCAACGGGCCCACCCGCAGTCCACAGCGCTGATCCGTTGCCTTCCGACGCTGGAGCCGTGAGGCGTGAACGTGTCTCGGCACATTGGCGTCACCATTCTCGACCCAACCGCGGCCGCCGTGGCTCCATCCCTCCCCTCAAGCACGTCGCGCGCGCTATCTCGCGAGGGGTTGAAAACCCCCATCTCGCCCAAAAACATGCTTCACGCTGGGTGGGCAGTCTCGTGCCGTCACCGTCTCCACCGTGCCCTCCCTTCATGCGGCAACAGTTGACTGAGTCGTTTTCGTCGCTCTTCCTCTCTCGCAACCCTGGGGCGTCCCTTGCCGGTGCCAGAGAGACAAAACTACTTACTCTCAGGATCAGTCCGCAGCACGGGACAACCACTTTGCAGCACGAGACAACCACTTTCCTAGCGCACTAGAGACCCTCTGCAACGCACTCAAGACTGATTTCAAGTGGGAGCTCTCCTCTCTCGCACTCTTGGCGCGTCCTGTAAGGGTGCGAGAGAGACCGGCTAACGAAAGAACTGGTGCCACACTCCTCCACCCTCGTCTCGACAAAAAAAAACATCATTTTGACGTCATGTTGACGTCATTTGACTGCTTTCATGAGTGCTTCGTGTTCTTTGGGACCCGTGTCCCTACCCGCAAGCCTTTTCTGCCTCTCCTCGGAGTAGAATCTTGGACGTCGTTGTGAGGAAAAGGTTGGTGCTAAAAAAAATTTCTGTAAAAATTTTCAATTTTCTCAGGAATTACAAAAACAATATTCAGACACAAGGCCAGAGTCAGACGGATGCGTACCCGCTTTGTGCCTTTGCGGCAGCCCGCCCTGAAGGTGCCACCTTTCCCACAAAGAAGCATTAACTCTTCCAAAACAAATAAAGCTAAACAAAACGCTATCGTTGCCGTTGTCCCGAATCAAAAATTTAGAGAGGGAGAGGGAAGCATTTTTAATTCACAATCACCTCAACCAAACTACGTCTACGTCAGTAGAAGGGCCGGCTTATGTTGGCAGTAGAAGTTCTTTTGCTGTCCACCCACAGCGCCACATACCTCTGTAGTAGCAGCAGTAGAAAATTAGCAAAAGCTAGAAAATTTCATTTATCACATCTAACATCTACAACTCTTTGACATCAGCTGGGCTCCCCTCTCTGGAATACAGGTTTCTTCATTTCTTGTGTTATATACGATAATTTTACTCTTGCTGCTTTCATTGTGGCGCAATTTCAATTGGTGCCTGACAGTTTTCAATTTAACCCAACTTAAACCACACCCTCTCCTCTTTTAATTTAGAATCGTAAGCCATTTGTTTTGTTGTTTCCTTCATTTCATTTTGTTTCGATCGTTCTTTACTCTTGGACAAGAAATTTTCGTTTACTCATATCATCTCCAACTGTCAATGTTCATTGATCCAATGCACTGACATTATAGTTTGTTAAGGCAAATCGGTTTCTGAGTTAAGTTTAGTACCCCTTACCTTTAAAGAAAAGCCTGATAACTATTAGCACCCTGGTGCAAACAAGCTCTTGAATTTTTATTTACACCGCTTCTTTTCTTTTCTGTGTTTTCAGACCAAAATAAATAATGTCACAACCGCCACAACCTGGTTTTACTGCTCCTCCTCCCGGTTATCCACTACCTGCCTATCCTCAGCCAGGTAATGCACAGCCTGGTTATCCCCAGCCTGGTTTTCCGCAGCCTGGCTACCCTCAGCCTGGTTACCCTCAGCCTGGTTACCCACAACCTGGTTACCCGCAGCCTGGTTATCCGCAGCCTGGCTATGCCCCTCCGGATGGACAAGTTTACCCCCAACCTGGTTTGTACACAGTCTCATTTTTAAGCTCATTTTTTAGTTAAATACATTACCTGTTGTTCTGACATTTTCATCAATTCTTGATTTGTATTCTTACGTATTAGGTGGCTATGGGCAGCCCATGGGATTTGGAGGGCAACAGCCGCCGCAGTATGCCCCAGCTGCATACCCTCCTCCTGGAGGACAAGCCTACCCTCCGTCGGGACAAACTGTAACTGTTCAGCCAGGTTCAGTTGGAGCAGCTTCAGGAGGTAAGATGCTCTTCCAATAGACTTGTGGTTTTCCACAATACATCAGTCTTTTAAAATTGTAGGCGGGTTACTAGCCCAGATGTAAACTAGACAATAAATTCTACCGCCTCCCCCAAACATCTTTGGGTGAGGCTTTCAATTTTGGCTTGAACTGGGAGGGTGATGTTTGCTTCTGCGGCTACTGCCTCTATCTTAGGGTTGATAAGAGTGCCTCCAGTAGATAAAGATGAAGTATGCAGGAGTGGGGAGACGTTCGTGGGTAGAAGACCTGTGAGATAAGCTCCACTGTTGTGTAGCAGGAGAGAAAGAGAGTCACAACATTGGTGAAATATTGGATTCTTACTAGGTTGACATTCTTAAAATGAAAGGTTGTGAGTTAATTGATCCATCTTGTCCTTGTGAGTTGTCTTGGGAGAACAAAAAGCTTAAGCAGCATTGGTGGAAACAACTCAGATTTTTTTTGAAGACTCTCAGCATGAGAAAATGTTGGTCAAAAATTCAGAATACTGTGTGCAATGTACCCGACCAGTTCTGGCTCTCTGCATCAACTGACATTTCTTATTTCCGCTTTTTAACTGAAAGCGAACAAAGGTTGTCTTTAAGAATTGCTTTATACATTTCATTGTAAGATTTCAATTTGCATTGAATTGGCTGTCTTTTTTCCAGACGTTTGGATGAATTTGCCTCAAGGCGTTCCGATGTGCCCGCCAGGTTTGGAATACCTTACATCGATTGACCAACTCCTTGTGCACCAAAAAGTAGAAGTTCTTGAAGGTAAAGATGTTTTTTTTTGTTTTATTTTTGGTGTGTCTATTTTTGCTCTTTTTCAAAAAGAATTTTGTTGGTTCATTGGTACTTCTGTACTTGTACTTTAAATTGATTTTGCCTATTTTGTTTCTACTGCATCTTGTAACTGTTGTTCTAGCTCTGACTGGCTTTGAGACCAAAAACAAATTTACTGTGAAAAACTCAATGGGTCAGAAAGTATACAAGGCGGTTGAAGACACTGATTGCTTGACACGAAATTGCTGTGGTCCATTGCGACCATTTGACATGAAGATTTTGGATAATTTTGACAATCAAGTAATTCACCTCAACCGTCCACTAGCATGTGACTCGTGTTGCTTCCCATGCTGCTTGCAGGTAATTAAATACCCAGTTTTTTATTATCTTTGTCTCATTTTTATTTTGAATGTTGAAAGAATTTCGTCAAGTCTTACTGTGTCCTGAATTTTTGATTATATTTTTACCAGTCTATGGAGGTATCTTCCCCGCCTGGTAATACCATTGGCAGAATCGAACAAGAATGGAGTATTCTGAAACCCAAATTTGTCATCAAAGATCATAATGATGAAGTCGTTCTACGAATTGAAGGACCTTTCTGCACTCTCAGCATCTGTGGCAGTGATGTTAAATTCAAGGTGTGCCATTTGTTTCTTATCTTCCTTTTGTTTGTCATATTGTTTTCTCTCCACATTCATTTACTGTTCCTCAGGTTTTGAGTAAAGATGGGGAACATGAAGTCGGCAAAATTTACAAACAGTGGGCTGGTGTCTTGAGAGAGGCACTTACAGATGCTGATCACTTTGGGATCACCTTCCCCATGGACTTGGATGTTCGTATGAAGGCTGTTATGCTTGGAGCGTGTTTCCTCATAGTGAGTAGACCTTCCTCCAATTTGTAGACATGATAATGTAATTTTAGTATTCACCAGCTACTATTTAATGAAACAACTATTTTCAGGATGCAATGTTTTTTGAGAAGAAGCAAGATGGTGCTGTGCAAGTAAGTCCAATATTATGAGCGATTTCATCATTTGAACAATAACACCTGACAAGCTGGACAAGTCAATGTTTTGTCACAGCTTGTTGGCAAACCCATAATCATTACTTGATGCAGTGCCCAGCATCAAATAATTGTTATGCAGCACTTCAGGCTTTACCACTTGCTGAGCCTTGCATGTGTTTCCTAGTTATGCAACATCTAATTTTATCTTATCTTCTGTGCAGGCTTTGTTGTAGGATCTGCAAAACATTGTGAAGCAACATACTTCACCGTAACAAGCCGGTGAGTCATGACACGTTTTGAAACTTTCTGTGCTATTGTTTATGCTGTCACTGAAAGAAAAGACTAATGTTGAGTTATAGTCTTTAAAGCCTTATTCTTGTTTCTTGAAACTTAGCACATGTTTGTATTGTCCTTTTTGTTTTTCTTGGATATTTATTGCATTTTTTGCCATGCCAGGTAAAACAAAAGTTATTGCTGTGCTTCCTTTATTGGTATTTAATCCTACTAGTAGTAACTGTCATTTACCCTAAGTAGGGCTACCTTCGTAATTTGTGTGTTCTCTTTTTTTAAATTTTGTTCTTGTAAGTTGTGTGTTGTCTTTTTTCTTTCTTTTTTTTAAATTGCATTGAGGTATTGTGTTTTGAGTGTTCTGGTTGTTATAGTATCTCTCATACTTTTTAAAATACAGATCAAGAATCTTTGCACACTCAGTATTTTTGTGTACTTAGATAAAAACTACAAACTATTCCAGAAGTGCTTTAGCTGACTGAATGTCATACTGTGACGGCCTTCCTTGATTGTTACCTGAATGTTAGGACCCTTAATACTGCTAGCTGTTTTATTAATCATGTTAATGTTAATACGTATGCAATGGTGCCCAGACATCTCAAAGCTGATTGTGCAAAGACCATTTCTTACAACGGCAACATCGGCTGTCCAGTTTGGGTGTGACTGTCTGTATTTACGTTGTTGTATTTGTTTCAATGTGTACTTGACCACACACATAATGAAATGTGGCCTTCTAATTCAATTTGACTAAGTTTCTTCACCATTGCTTTTGGTGCTTCGTCATGACTGTAACCTCTAGTCTGCATCGCATAAAACTCAAAAAAATTAAAATGTCTTATTTTTATGCTATAGAAAAACAAAATATTCTCTTTATAAAAAAACTTACAATTATTATAAGAATTTTTATGGAACAATATTGTGTAAATTTAAGACTTAACAGATCATGGTATTATTTGTATTTTTATTCCATCTTGTTACCCTTGCCACTTTTGAGAAAATATATACTCTGTAAAATTTGATGATGTGTTAAAAGATTATGAAATATATGAACCAAAGATTTGAATTGAAGTCTAGATTCCTTTAGTTTCTGTTCCTCATGCCAAAATCTCACAGTACGTGATGTTACCTTTCAGTGCTGTTTAGTGAAACTGAAAGAAGTTTTACTGAAAGATGATAAGGAGTCCTGTAAACAACAGTGATCCATGAATTAGCAGTCAAATGTATTTTACTTTCCTTGTCAATAAATAAAAATATGGGCAAACATTGGTTCAAAGTCTCTTATATTGTAATGATACAACATTTTTCTCTTATGTGAAACTTGAGTTTCAGAGAAGAGATAAGACCTTTTTAGTTGAAGTTTTCTACAATTCAACATAAATGACTCTTAATTCTAGTTTGCTTTTACCTGTAACCCTGTGAGACTAGTACCTGCTGGAAAGAAGTACGTAACAGAATACAACACACAAATACATTTGACATTCTGTAGTACGTTTATGGTTAAATTCTTATTCACAGTCATGTTGTTTTCACCTCCTGAAATTATTTTGTGCGAAAACTTCCTGACAAGTTTTACTTGTTTCCTTGCGGTTTAGAATAATAGTGCTAATCGAAGACCAATTATAGTTTGTATTCTTTGAACTGTAAAATTTTCCATTTTTTTGAAAGGGGCCCCAGAACTTTTACTGAGGCCAACATGTAAGGAAGGGAGTGCGACATACAGCAGTATTTTCTGATTAACAACAAATATATCTGGTGTAATATTTGAGCGATTTTCTATGATATTACCCCAAACAAGTTTTTTAAAAATTTAATGATAACAGAATCATAAAACATCTGATAGTACTTTCCCACTAGCATAAAATGACATTCATAAGTATAAAAATAATTTTTCTCTCTTACAAACAATAGTGTAGAGTTTCGAAAGTAGTCTTTTCCTTGCATTGAATAGAGGTGGGATCGTCCTTTCTTTAAACTTTCCTATCAAGTCACCCCAAAATAATTTGCACGACAAATGTTTTAAGTAGTAAAAGGCCTGAACATGTTAAAAAAATGGCATGAGTTAGAAAAATTAAGAATAAATAAATGTAAGTTGTTTTGACAAAGAAAAATCTAAACAACAAAATCATGCAAATAAATATTGAATCATGTTCACAGTGCAGTAACAATCCATAATAGCTTAATATTTGGTATGATGACATCACATGAGGCACAATAAGTTATTATTAATGAACAAAAGTCTCAACATGTGAATAAGTAACAAACAAAACAATGTACACCAGCAATAAGTATCCATAACTGTATAACATCAACAAGTGTAATAGCTTTGACAATATCATCTAGGCTTACGACCAAAGGTACAAAAAATACAAACTGTTTATAAAATAGTTTTTTTTTACAAAGTCATTCCATTTGTTTACTCACCGTCAAGGCAACACCATTGATGTTTGAAAGCAATGCACTTGAGTCACATCATAGTTACTTGATGAAAACTATCATATCGTCTACACTAGCACTAGCCTAGCACAGATGCAGCAACGAGGCGACCCACACTGATGGCTTACAGTGCACTTGAGCGAAACTTTGACCACAGGGACGGATAGAAAAGCCTCGGGTACACTCTCATAACACTATTTCCTGTCAATACATTCGTTCATTTGACTAGATTTCCACTAGGGATCGGTTCAGGGGACGGATGGCGGGTACAGCGAAATAGTCTAAGGCAGGATACGGAGGCTTTTCTGGTGCTTCCCTGGGGCTCCTAGCCCTGCGGTGCCCTGCGGCCTCAAGCGTAGGCTCGGCAGGCGGCGGGCCAGCTCTCGCAACGCTATCACAATTTCACGCACAGCTCGTCCATTTCGAGGTCCACGTCCGGGACGACGGACACGTCCGGGGGGTCGGAGGAGAAGGTGACCCTGCGCTTGCCACCGCGCGTCAGCGTGCCGGTGTCCCGCGTCAGGGTGCCTCCCGCGACTCCCTCGGCGGGGCCGGCGGGCTTGACGGCGGCCTTGGCGGCCTCCACGGCGGGCATGCACCCGCCGATCCCCGCCGGCGGCCTGAGCCCCGGCAGCCCAGGCAGCACGTCAACGACGTCCACGACGTCCACCAGGTCCATCGGAAGCCTCACCGACGCGTCGTCCACGACGTCGCCGGGCAGCATGAGGCCGCCGCTCTTGGTCCGCCGGATCTGCGTGTCGTCCTCCAGCATGTAGGCGTCTTCCGGGGGCCCACCTCCGCCTGCACCGCCACGGCTGCTGCCTCCGCGCGTGGCGGTGCAGGCGAACCGCTAGAAGCAGTAGGTCCGCGACGGCGGGCAGACGGACGACGGCGGCGAGGAGGTCGGGTCGACGACGACCCCCACTGGCGGCGGCCCGTGGGCAGGCCCGGGTGGCAGCGGTGCCGGCACCCCTCGGTAGGGCGACGGCGGGACCACTGTCAGGGTGGCGAGGTGCCCGGACCCCGCCGGGAGCTCGGGTCAGCCGTAGTAGTATTGCTGGTTGGGGCCGCCGCCGCGGTTCAGGCTGCGCGGCGCCTCCATCAGGTCCACGGGGGCGCCGCCCGCGACGCCCGCCACGCCGAGCCCCAAGTTCTGGCCGCGGCGGAGCGTGCCGTATCTCACAACCTGCGGGGCAGAGCAGAGACTGCGTTCAGGACGCGACGCGACACACCCACACACAGACACCAGTGCACCTGGCTGTCGGCGACGATACCCCCGCCATGCATGCGCGCGGCGCGCGGGGTATCGCCTCGCCGCCATGGTCGCCGCTTGGCTTCCACTTGGTTTGCAAGTCCACGTTACCTCGGCGGGCTCGTGGCGGGGCGGCGAGTGGATGGCGACCGCGGGCACGGCCACGGGCGTGGTCAGGTCGATGTCGGCGTCGATCTCGCTGATGTCGTCCGTGAAGCCGTTGGGGATGCGGTCCGGCGCCGAGTTGGCGGCGCGGAACTTGGCCTCGGACTTGGCGCGGTGGCGTTGCACCAGCAGGCGCCCGATGACCAGCACCAGGAACAGCAGCAGCCCACCCGAGATGGACAGCGTGAGGTACAGGTACAGCTTCTCCTGGTTCTCTGTGGAAGAGGGCCGGGCGTTAGAATAGGGGCAACAGAGAACAGAGGCACGAGGGCTGCTGGGAGAAATGCAGAGCAAACGTTTCCGCAATTTGATTTTCAGGACACCTTCCCCCCCAAAAAACCAGTTTAATAGTAAAATCAAAACTAAGTTTATTGTTTCCTAAGTGAGTAAAAATTCGATACTCTACTTCAACTTCTACACCAGTGTCTACGAGAGAGATTCTTAACTAGGGTTCTTAAGAAAGAAGAAAAAAGGAGCCAGAAGGTAACGTATAAACTACCATAGAGAACTTTAAAAGAACGGTATTACATGTCTGCTGAACCACTACGGCATGTTAATGAAGCTCAACACTAATGATTGCGCTGCTTGTGAGTCCACTGCATGCCATGCAACACGTCGGCGTGTCTCCATTCCGCATTCGAGCTGGCCGTGCCGGCAGCCACGCTTCTCAAAAAATGAACAAAAGCCAGTCACATTAAAAAAATTGCACCCACTTGAAGGCAGTTGGGACCAGTTCGGACGTATTATCATTTTCAAACCACACGGATTTTAGTTTAAACGTCAAAACAGAGAAAAACGGCAAAAATCCATCGGCAGGTTTTAAAGAGGACGGTTCTTGTCTTCCGCGCCGCGCGGCGCCGCGGCCTCCCGTCCCGTCCGGCCTTCCCCCCCAGATACTCACGCTTCATGAAACTGTACGTGTTAATCCACTCTGAAATGATGCCGATGACGCGCGGCGAGGGCTTCTCCCCGGTGTAGATGGTCACGGTGCAGTTGATCTGCGCCAGGTCGTCCAGCTCCAGGTCCTGCTGCTCCTCCGGGGCGCCGTCGACGCCGTCTTCGGCGGTGGACTCCGTGGGCAGCGCGGCCAGCGGCCTCCCGGCACGCCGTCGACCGTCGTCGGCCTGCTCGGGGTCCTGGTGGTCCAGGCGGTCTTGGTGCTGCGCGGGGCGGGGCCGCTTGGTGGGCCGAGGCCGTGGGCCGGCGCGGGGGGTGGGGGGTGGGGCGTCGATTTGTTTAGCGGGCCGGGGGCTGCCGGGTCTGGAGACGCTGTTCTGATGGCCTGGCGAGCCTGGCGAGCCTGGCAGGACAGAATCAAACGGAATGCACGGCACGCCACAGTAAAGCAAGCACGGAACAGTTTCCCCGCCACTGGCAGCGGCGAAGACGGCGAGAACGAAAACCACTACAAGGGGTGAGTCAGGCTGCAGGCCATGCAAGTCCACCTTACTAGACAACACTACAGCATGCTCCCGCACTGGTTTCCTATTGCGCAGGAAGGCTGGCTGGAAGCGAGCTGGCGTAGTCAGTGCGCGCTGGCGACACTCCGCTAACGTCCGCACCGCAAAGTCGTTCAGCTTTCACAGTCAAGTTTCCTAGCTTTCGGTAATTTTTTTTTTTTGCGTTTTTTGCGGGTGGCGTGGGTTAGGGTGGCGGAGACCGCCGCCCTGACGGTGACCGCCGCCCTGACGGTGACCGCACGGGCCAAGGGACATGGACGGAAGGACGGACGGACGGACGGACATACGTACAGACAGACAGACAGACAGACAGACAGACAGACAGACAGACAGACAGACAGACAGACAGACAGACAGACAGACAAACCGACCGACAGACAGACAGACAAGGGTTGGCAAGGAGGTGCGGCAGTGCACTCCCTCGGGAGCGAACCCAGAAATCCTGGAATCCCGGCTCTCCACTCCACTCTGTTCCGCGCTTCGGACTCCGCTTCGGACGGCACACGGCGCTCACGGCACTGGGCAGCTCTGCGAGGTGCCAATGGTGCCTCCGGGATGGCCGGGACGGCCGGGACGAGGTCCTCGATGGCCACGCCGCCGCGCCACGCCAAGACGGGGGCACTAAAACAGCGAGAAGGGCTGGAGCGACTGGACCGAACGGACTGGGTCTCGAGCAGGGTAAAGCCCACCGCCTTCTGCTAGTACCGGCCTGAACAGCATCTCGAACGAGACTCGAACCCAGAGCGATGCAGAGCGACGCAGAGCGACGCAATCATGCTATCCTGAAAAATGCACGACCCGCCGACAAAGCGACACTCTGCAAAACGGGCCGAGACAGGGAATTCCGTCACATTCGCCACGATTTTTCCACCAATCTATTGGAGAAATTTCGACGCGACCGTTTGAAAATGACCCCCGCGAAAAATACAAACACGTTTCGTCGTCGCGTCGTCGCTTGTGGGATCTGGAGCGGTGTTCCCCTTTTCCAATGCTTTCCCGCAGCGCCGTTTACGGTGTACTATTCCCTATTTTATTATTTCGGCGCTACACCGTTTTGCGGCCCAAAGCGCGCCCGCTTGTTTACCGCCGCGGAGACCGTGAAAATATAAAGAGGAACAAACAGAGCAGGCAGCACAGTTATGGGGCGAGGGCGGGATCGGGAAAGAGGGATTGGGGGGAGAGGGGGTCCTTTTCTGCCATTTCTGCCACCCTATGCCGTGCACTGGCAGCCAGCCTAGGTGCAGCGACGACGAAGGGTTGGCGCGAGGCGACCCCCCTCCACCCCCCTCCCTCCCTCCCTACGCTTGGTGTGCCGCGCCGCACCACGCCACACCCCAGCACAGCTTGGCTCCAGCCAAATATTGCCAATTTCACCTCCAGTGTGCGAAAGGTAAATAAAATCCCAGTGCAATTAGCTCCCTCGCTCAGCGAAATCAAAACGAATGAAGACCCACCGCGGAGGGGGAGCATGTTAGGGAGTGGAGAGGCGTGGATCTTTGGAATAACAGGAAAAATGGTGATACAAATCGGCAACTCCGTACATTATAAAATTTGTTAATTTCGTTGGGCGTCATTCCGTCCTCAGCACCCTCGAAAGCGTATGTCGAACTTAAAATAAAAAATTTGGTCGTAACCTACAAAACGGGCCAAAAACACGAAAAATAAATAAAAATGAACAAAAAATAAAATAATTCAGTGGAAGGATATTTGTAGTGGTTGAACGCAGGAGCACTCCGTCCATTAATTCCAATGCATCCTGGATGGAATAATTAATCGCTTTTTCCGGTGGCGTGGAGCCGAGCACAGCAGCGGTCCAACGCGTTGGTGCCCGTATGAGTGTGTGTGTGTGTGTGTGTGTGTGTGTGTGTGTGTGTGAAAGGGGGCGAGGCATGTGACCCCACCGGGGTCGCGTGGCGTCGCTTTCGGTCGGCTCTGACTCGAGTCCCGGCAGTGCAGCAGGTGTATCTGCCCTGCGGATTTAATTAATATGCTTTCAGCCGGCCGCGGCGTGGCGTGGCTTGGCGGCACCAAGGGTGGCACTCACCAGCTGGGGCTGCAAGACAGCGGAGTGGGGCACCGCCGGAAAAGGGGTAAGGCCGGGCAAGGCCCACCGCCGGTTTCGAGCGGACCCGTGCGTAAACTAAAATGGTTTCGCCACGCTTTTTCTTCAGGGCACTTTTTAATTTTTTTTTCAGAAAATGTATTCTAAACTTCAGAAAAAAATACTGAAAATTGAAGAAGTTTTTTTTGAAATGATTGTCAACTCTGCGGCGTTCTAGCTCGAGCTTCGCATGTTCTGAAAATGCAGCGATCCATCATTGGACATCAATCATGCACGGGCTTTTTGGCTCGGCGCGGCTCGGCGGCACAGCGACGCTTGCGGAGTGCAGATCCGTCAGCCCCGCACAATCGCACGATCCGCACAATCACAACCACAGGCCGGCCGCAACCAGAACCAGCATTATGTTGGGTCAGGCAAGGCCCGTGCAAGTGTGTGTGTGTGTGTGTGTGTGTGTGTGTGTGTGTGTAAGAGAGAGAGAGAAGAGAGAGAGAGAGAGAAAGAGAGAGAGAGAGAAAGAGAGAGAGAAAGAGAGAAGAGAGAAAGAGAGGGGGAGGGAGGGAGGGAGGGTAGTATACGGAAGGTCCTTGCACATGAGCCCCAACACTGCGCACGCCAACTTTAAACGTGGGTAAATACATTCACCAGGCTGCAGGCGCCACGCCCCGTCCTACCGCAGCCCGCGCCTCCGCGCCCTGCTCGCGGTGTTCCTGCCGAGCAGGAATTGATGGGGGAAGTTAGTCGTCGCAGAGACGCGTCGGGGCGGGGCGGGGCGGGCGTGTGTTGCGGTCATTCCCCGCGCGCTCTGTGCTCGCTGGGCGCTGAATTTGGCCCCGGCCGCTGCTTTACGCTCTGTCGATCCGACTAGGCGATCGGCGTTCGAGCGGCGGGGCGTCCACCGCGACGACTTGTCCGCTCTGGAGTCTGCCCCTCGGCCCTCGCTGCTCGCCCGGCAACTTGACTCGTCTCAATTCACACTGCAGGCAAGTTTTGGCGGTGTAGTCGCGGCGGGTGCAACGGCCGCGCTGACAAAGGGACGCGGTGCCGGGACTCGAACCACGACTCCGCGACTCCGCGACCCGCGATAAGGACAAAGCAACAGACATCGAGGCTGAGCTATTATTACACACTGATTTCTCCCCCGCGCAATAGCCTCGCTGGCTCTGTCTGGTGGCGTCGGGTCAGCGCCCCGCCCCGCCATGTAGGGCGTCTTTGCTACCTCCAGCCAGACATGGCGCCACGTCCTCGGGGCTGTCTGCCGTGCTGCCGCTGTCTCTTTCTGGCGTCGCAAAAAGGGCGCGCAATGAGAGAGATGAAGATAGTCGTGTCCTCAGCGGTTATCGGGGGCGGGGGCTTTACACCCCGGGCCCGGGGCGGGGTGCGGTCACAAACACCTATTCCTCATGTCAGCCGGAGGAAAGGGGGAGCGAGTGAGAGAGAGGGACTGGCTGGAATGAGATAGGGCGTCGTCTGGGATGAACGAGGGAAAACAACTAAACTAACCCCCGTGCCCCCGCCAAGGCCCCCGCCAAAGCCCCCGCCCTCCCACTCGCGGTGTGCCCCGCCCCGCCCTGCCCCCCAAATAATGCAGGCCCAGCAGCGGGGCCGGTAAATTTCCCGCCCCAACTTTTTTGATAAACTAATTCTTGAAGTTGGCAGAATGGGGCGCGTCATGCGGACGACAATGAGGCTTCGC